AGTGTACATCTACTAGTATTATTTTAAACTTTACATGGGACTTTTAAGATTCAATACAGACACTCATCAATGTTTACCAACAAGTATTATATTTAATCTTAACATGGGACCTTTAAGGTTCCATTTAGACAATTATCAGTGTACATCTACTAGTATTATTTTAAACTTTACATGGGACTTTTAAGATTCAATACAGACACTCATCAATGTTTACCAACAAGTATTATATTTAATCTTAACATGGGACCTTTAAGGTTCCATACAGACAATAACCAGTGTAGACCAATGAGTTTTATATTTAAACGTGAGAACTTAGTTACTTTGACCATATTTGGCTAAGCACTAAATATATAGAAGAGTTTAGACAAGGATTTGTGTTGAATATTTATAAGTCAGTTCAGTTTATGATTCATATCCTCTTAGATACATAGGGGACCTTGTTTAAGAAATGTTACCACAAACAGTACACTCACTGGGAGAGGGGGAGGCTCTTTATGACTTTTAAAGATTGATGATGATTCAAAACACAAAAACTCCGCTTCTGTATATTTTGGGGAAAATAGCTTGCCATACTAACGATGATTTATATGCAGATCATAATAAAATAATGAAGTTAATTTTGGCATTTTGGATGTAAAATAGATAAAGTTTGGATTAGAGTCAGTTCCTCTCTCGTTCCTACTTTTATTTAAATGAAATATGTTTTTATGGAAAATCCATAATTTGAACACTCTTAATATATATGAAAAAACAATATGGAAAACCTGCAATTTGAACACTTTTATTCAGTCCCAGCTATTTATTTGTTAACTTATTAATTTATGGAGAGTGGGGGAGGAAGGGGGGGGGGGGTTGTTACCCAATATGCAATGTTGCAATTTAATTGTGGGGTTGTTTTATTGAAACAAGAGATATTGACTTTCTTCAATTGTAATTCACATTATTATATCACTATCTAGCTAGCGACAGTATGATTGGTCAAAACCGGGTCACATGTCGTGGGATATCTGGCGATATTCAATGGCAATGCTAATCAGATAAGACAACCGTGAGATATCTAGCGATATCCCACGCTCCCGGGAATTTTCAAAGAATTTGTTTTCGTTCAGTGTAAATAATTTAGTTCAGTGTAAGTCAAAATGACAGACGAACCGAGTAGATTCAATGTATTTCAATGTTAACCTATGACTTAATAATATTAGGGATTTTTAACTAGACAGTGATATAATAAAACAAATATTTCACTCTATTTTCGGTGAATACCTGTAGCACTTTCACAAGGTGATATTCCACTTGCCCTTCGGGCTTCGTGGAATATCACTTGTGAAAGATGTACAGGCATTCACCTCAATAGAGTGAAATATTTGTTCAATATTCAACAGTTAGATTCTCTTCAGTTGTGATGTATTTTTAGTACAAATGGACCAATTTACAAATTGCAATGTTGTGTATATTGTAGTCTAATGTTTGCTTCTAGGCATTGTATGTCCAGTTTAAAGTAGAGATAGCCATTTAAATTATCAACAAAATGGCCATTTCTCATTGACTGTCAATATCATATTGTCTAAGTCAGGCACAGAACTAAGTCTTGAACCAAGTTGAAGTGGTAGACAACCGCTGGTGGTAGTCAGAAGCATCCTGAGGATCAGGGATGGGGGGGGGTGCATATATACATCTATAAAAAGGTCTCTGAGCCTAGAGCTTTTGAACCTCTTTAACCAGATCACATATTGTTCTTCTCTTCTCGGTGTCAGAGCCAACAGCCCCCCCCCCACCTTCAGAAGCCCCCCCCCCCTCACCTTCAGAAGCCCATGTCTCTGATCTCAGGGTTCAAGATATCATCCTCAAATTTCTTGTTTCTTAGGCACTACCATGTTATCAGCATGTAAATTCATCAGTTGGGCCTTTCTTAGGATGTAAATTTCATCAATTGGGCCTTTCTTTGGATGTAAAATTCATCAATTGGGCCTTTCTTTGGATGCAAAATTCATCAGTTGGACCATCAGTGAAGCTTAGCAAATGTACCATGTAAGTAAATATGTGTTTTATACAGGAGTTTGAAATTGATAAATGGCCTGAAGGACTATACTCTAACTCGTCTTTATTCGCAATGCATATGAAAAACTGACATAAATTCATAAATTCATGTGATGTTTTTAACAAGTAGGAACACTCCCTCATATATGAGGCTGTAAAGATTGTATCACTCCATTTGCTTATATATATTTTTGATTTTGTCTCAAAATTCTATGTTTTTATGTCACCACCAGAAGTGGTGAAAGATGACATATTGTTAAAGTCTCCAATTTGCAAGGATGAGAGACGATTTTTGTGAGGGTCATTGGTTGCTAAATTGAGTATTTATTTGTAAGGGCAGTTTGTAGGTTTACTAGATGACAAAGTTCAAGATGATTGGATATAAATCTGAGTTATCATAAAACAACACCCAGATTGACCGATATTACTATTTTAAATATGAATTTACAATGTATTTGTACAATTCAATGCATACTTGAATCTCAAGTGGTTATTCACTGGGAGGGATTGAATATTGAATTTATTCATTTATAGGGAAATGCTATTATTTTCTGCTAATGACTGTTATTCACTAAGAGCTATTTGGGTCATGGGATAAAAATGGTTTTCACCGTATTGCCATCCCCTCATTCCCTATTTGCCCTCATTCCCTATTTGCCCTCTTCCCTCATTTCCTTTCAACCTGTTTGTAATCTCCCTCTTGCCTTGCCTCTAAGCTTCTTTGCCTTTTTTCCCCTATTATGCCCCCCCCTTTATTTTATTTCCTCCAACTTTCCCTCTTGCCTCCCCATTCTGCTTTCATTTTTTGCCCCACCCCTCTCATTCTCAGAATCTAAACAGAGATCTAGCTCATTGTAGAAATGAATTCATTTTATTAGAACTATATTAAACAGCAAACTTTTGATCATCTTTCATCTTGATCTTAACCCAAATTCATAACTTGAAATTCTTATGAAGTTCCAAATTTCATTATCTAAACTTGAGTTCTTGGGTGTAGAAAGTCTCAGGTTCTTGTGAAAAGATTGGCTCTTTGTCTTATCTCGTAAGTGCCTACTAAAGATAGGATAACAGACTTTCAAATATTGTCATAAGAGTGAAATGTAAATGAAATGTATGTGTAAATATTAAGCTGTATTCCTAATATGTACATGTGTACTAATTTAAGTGAAAGCACTATCAAGCATATAGGACCTTTGCACCTTACATGTATATTATACATATTTGTCCACAATATACAAAGGACCTTAACTTCTTATATAAGGATAGAACTACTTTCATGGGGGACCTTTATTATTTATATTTACATGTGACGCTACATGTATGTAGGACCATCCTTTAGTAAATGTATTTAAATATAGTACTACATAAATGTAGGATTTTTACTTCTCATATTAACCTCTTGACTACCCGGAGTGACTAGATTTCTCGTCACCTCAAAAATGACCTTGAAACCCAGAGAGACGAGAAAATTCGTCTCAAAATTGTTCACTAACATTGCTCTTATTTGAACACTTTTCATCCAATATAGACAAAACTTGTTTTAAGTTAGTTGTACTAATTTGAGCATATAAAGTTTCATAGGTATGTAGTAAAATGCCAAAAGGTGGTAAAAATGAAAAATTCTCTGGTTTCAATCGGTTTAAGAACCTGGGATTCAAGAGCTTAAGTATAGTACTACAATATGGATGTAAATAAGTAGGACCTTTATTTCTTGTAGTACTACATGTAGTGTTGTAGCCTGGCTTAGTTTTCATCTTTACTTAGCTGAAAAGTGGAAGTATAAAGTCAACTTGTTCTTCTTAAAATATTTTTTCATCATCATCCCACACATCCTGTGAACGATATCCAGTTTTAAAAAATGCCTTTTTCTGTAATATGAGTCCAGGTTCTGTAGTTTTAATTCAGGTCTTTTAAGCGTTGTGTGAATTTAGAAGTGTTATATTTATCACTGTTGCTGTATGCTTTTAGAATGAAAAATCATCAAAAACGAGGAGTATAATTTAATAAAATGTAATTTATTAATTTATTATTTAATTAATTCATAAAACTTTGAAAAAAAATATTTATCACTGTTGTTGTATGGTTGTATTCATGTATTTACGATGATGTTACTTATTTCTTTAGAACTGTTTATTGTGAATTTGTAACAAAAATAAGTGCATTATTCACTTAGGTAGAAAACCTTAAGTTGAACATCCTCGTATGTTGAACACTTTTGGAAGTTCTGTTATCAAAGCAGTGTTAAGTGAACACCTCCTGACTGGAACCATGCTTTGAGGTTCTAAAAGTGTTTTAATGTTATTCATAACACCACATTTACTACATAGTACCAATTGTACGCTGAAAAATGGCCACATTTGCTGTTTTGATTCATAGGGTGATTTATAGCTTACTGTAGATTGGGTTAATTTGGCGCTACTTAATTTGGCGATTTTGCCATTTTTGGCATATTGGCGGCTATTTAATTTGGCGGATATGCAAAAAAAATGTTAATGGAATGTTAAACTTACGCGCTGTTTGCGAATTACCATGTAGATCTAGATCTAAATGGGCATGTTTGGCTATGTTCATTTTTTCTTTTGAGGACCACTGGCGATATTCACCACGTTTGTACATTTTTGTGAGATCATCCTTTACATTTTACACCTCAATCGATGCTGCTACTTTTCCCTGAGTATAAATGAGTGACTAACCAGTTCTGAGCCAATTTATGAGAGACATTTTTTCATGTTTTTGGAAAAATAAACCGGAAGTGACCTTAATACACTGGGCGAAATACCCTAGATGATTCCCGGGGATTCATTCTAAATTTTGGCGGAGATTTATATTGGCGAATTTTTCAATTTCGCCAAATTCGCCAAATTAAAGCGGGCGCCAAATTAACCCAATCTACAGTATGTCTTTTGGAATGGTCTCCAACCAATATAGAATTGACCCTCATATTACTCTTTCATGTTTTCCAGGGTCCTTATGACAAGGTGAATACCAGAACGGGGGCTTGCCCGACATGTCATGAGTACACTCTAGCCTTCTCTGTACTACAGGAAGCAATGCCAAACCTTTTGACAACCTTAGACATTGTACCGTTCACTCCAGAGAACCCACCACCCATTCTTAAGGAGTATGGAAATGGTAAACGATTCCCAGTGTTGTTCGTTAAGGAAGGCAAAGATTCAAAGGGTATAGATATGTCGAATACAGTGTGTGACACTACTGATGAGATTGAAGGGCTCCTAGACAGGTTTAACTGCACAAGGTTACATGGACGCAGAGATAGTGTCGAAGAGGCTGAAGCAGAAAAAGCATTTGATAGTTTATATGTGGTAAGCGTAGGCATCGGTCAAGGTTCTACTTTGCTCTCTGCACTGTTTGAAGCACACTGGAAAAATAACATAAAAGCAGATTGAATTGGATTTTGACATCATGAAGCAAAAGTAATGAAGCCTTGAAATAAGGAACTATCCAGGGATCACTCCAGGGTTTTCATTTTTTGGCAAATTGAATGACATAACTGGCAAAATTATTGGAATAGCTTGAATGTAGTTTCAAAGCGATAAGCCCAATAAACTGAAAATTTGGTAAATACAGCTAAAAATATTTTTCAAAAACGCATGGCAAATATTTATAACAGAAACAAATGAAATGAGTTTTTGTTATCAGGATTTATGGCAATTTTTTTTTGAAGCAAAAATTAATGGGAAATAATTTTGTTTCAGAAATTTATGGCATACATTAAGAATCCTGACAAAGACGCAAAGGGAATTCTTCGTGAATTGATGAAACTCAATGAACATTTGGGACGTCAACAAGAAAAGGGACTACGTTTTGCGGTGGAAGATCACTTAACTCTGGCTGATTGCTACGTCCTTCCAAAAGTGCATCACATCAGGATAGCCGGCAAGGTAAAAAAACAGAACACATAGATCTGATTGTTAAAGTTTTAATGAATGGGTAGATCAAAAAGTTTTCATATACCATATTCTCTTTAATGAGAGCACAGTGAAATGGGTTTAAATTCACGGGGTACCATCGAACAATTTTGGCAACGTACCGGAGAACGACATTTTACTAAGAAATGGCAATAATTTAGCACAATATATTTTTTAACTAGAGTTCTATTTTGATTTTGCCAAAAGTAAGTATTCCATGCAATAACTATTTCATTCATGAGTTTGTAGGAATTCTGTTGGAACCCAGTTCTGATCAAGTACGAAGTTATTGAAATCGGCGCAGACGGACTTTACTCCGAAAGATGGTTTTTCAATTATAACTTTTCACAACATTTAAGTATAGACTTTTGAAAAAAGTACAGAATAGTCCTTATACTTTTGAATAATTCTGTTATTTCTGATTCACGCGACTCTGATTTGTTTAATTAAAAAAAAGTTTTAAAAATATTACTTAGGAACGTAACCATAGCTGGGAACGTAACCGGAGCACAGTATATTAAAAAATATATTGTGCTAAATTATTGCCATTTCTTAGTAAAATGTCGTTCTCCGGTACGTTGCCAAAATTATTCGATGGTACCCCGTGAAATTGGGAAAACAAATTATCTTACCAAAATCTGCTACTGGAAGGCCGGAAATCTTGTTTTAAAGACACACTTGTATAAAATTGCAGTGTTTATTTTATTATTCCACTGGATGAAGTTGACTTAAAATATGTAACCCAGTGTAAAAGAACTAACATCTAAAATATAAGTTTTTCGTATTGAACTCTTTAAAACTTTTTCTTCTCATTTTCCAGGCATACCGAGATTTCGACATCCCTCTAGATTTGATTCACTTATGGCGCTACCTAGAGAATTGTTACAATCAGAAAATATTTGTCCGATCATGTCCAGCTGATAAAGATATCGTAGAGTTCTACCGCGCCAAGACCCCAATCAAGCCTAATATGGAAGCAACAAAAGTGATGCTCGGGCCTGTGACCTTGACCTTGGATGTCCCAGCAGAGGTCGCCCAGCATCCCCCGAGAGAAAATGGCGAGAACGGAGACTAAGACATTATTGTATGAAACTGAATGCAATGAAAATATAGAATGATTTTATATATATTATTATACAGTTATATTTACATACAGCTAGTTGAGATTGAAGTGAACAACAAGCCAATTTTAGAAAGCTAGGGCTATTGATGCTCTAGCTAGGGCTATTGATGGGCTAGCTGGGGCTATTGATGCTCTAGCTAGGGCTTTTCATCCTAGGAAAGTACAGAACTATTCAGAAAAGCAGAGCACTGTTTATGGAAATATTGGACTATTTCAGGAAATTACATGACTATTCAAGGAAAATACAGAACTATTCAAGGAAAATATTTGACTATTCTAGAAAAAGTACAGAACTGTTTTAGAAAGTATTTGACTATTCTGGTAAAGAACAGAACTATTTTAGAAAGTATTTGACAACTCTAGAAAAAGTAGAGAACTATTTGAGGAAATGTTTTTGAATATTATAGAAAAGTAGAAAAACATTTATGGAAACTACTTGACGAAAATACATTTAACTATTTGAGGAAAGTACAGAAGTATTCTAGAAGAGTACAGGTCTATAAATGGATAACTTAAATTTGAAGTTTGAAAATCTGGATAGGATGTTTTCAAGTGTGAAACCAGATTACGTTGTTGAATAGTTGATGTTTTCACTCCTATGTTTGTTGGCTATATTGGTAGACACTGGTGCCTCAAACTGGTTATTTATAGAACTCCATATATCACCATCGCAATATATAGTTATACTGTATTACAGCTTATACAGTTATACTGTATTGTACTAAAATATAGTTATACTGTATTACAGCTTGGCTTCATCAGGTATAAGACCTCTGAACCCATGAGCATTTTATGCATCTAGACAACTGCATTCATTCCATAGACTTCTGCATATGTCATAGACCCCTACATTTGTAGACACCTGCATCTATAGACACCTATATCTGTAGACACCTTCATCTGTAGATACCTACATCTGTAGACACCTACATCTGTAGACAGCTGTATCTATAGACACCTACATCTGTAGATACCTGCATCTATGGACACCTACATCTATAGACTCCTACCTCTGTAGACACCTGCATCTGTAGGCATTTCTGCACTTGTAGAATGGTAGATACTCCTACGTCTTTAAAGACCCTTAATAGTATGCCAATTTATGTATTCATTCATATTTTGTTTGTTTATTGTCGTTTGGATTACATGTACCCTACTCACCCACCGATAGTAGCATAATATATGTGTCTCGGTGGCTAAATAATCATGAACAGCCATTGATATGTGTTTATTATTGTGTTCCACGGAATCAAATGCTATATTTTGATTGGTCAGTCATTTCACAGAATAAAATGCTGTATTTTGATTAGTCATTGAAAAGTTAACATTTATGCATTCTGTATCTTTCGATGTTATTAATTATTCCTATATTAAAAATGTTTCTTCAGTTGAGTAAACAGAATGTATAAAAATAATTTATTTTAACCCTATGATTGTTCATCTCAAGGTCATAGCTTCGAGGTCATAGCTTCAAGCTAGATAGCCTTGCTGTACTTTTGCATATTTAGATTTAGCCCAAGAGTACACAATTGTATATTAACAAAGTATACGATATATACTATAGTGTATTAGAGTTATATGCTTCTTTAATATAATAGTGAGTAACAAGAAAATAAAAGATTCAGAATGATTTTTGCTTTGTAGATCATAACGATTGTTTAACTTTTTAGCAATTTTTCGATATTCATAAATGCAAATATATACAGACATATAAATGCAAATACATGCAAACAATAATTTGTTGCATTTTGCTTTCAGATTTAAGTCTTAAGGTTATAGATTAGCCTAGTCTTTGCATAGACTTTCTTCAGCATTATAATTTAGGTATAGAATGTCAATCACAAATGTGCATGTAGATTGTATACAATACATTGCCCTAAAATCAACCCTCGCATTTGTCAAAGTCACTGTTTTGCGATCTCCCAAAAAGTGTTATAAAAACTGTGGCTTGCTACCCGTGACTTAAGTTTTCACTACTCTTTCTTGCCTACTATTTGTGAACTACTTTTTCATCCTCTAATGTTCTTATATAGTAAATGCCAACGTTGATACCACGTGCCTTCTTTGCTAAACATATCGCAATTTAGTTTCTATTTTAAGTTTTAACATATTTATGTGATTCAAATCTTCTTGAAAGGCACCCTCCCTTAATGTTATTACATGGCGTGTCATAGCCCTCCCAGGATATGATATATATCCAGAGGGAAATATTTATTTTTGAAGTATTATTTCTGTCATAAAATATTCTAAACTCTTAAATATGAGCTGTCTTCTGAGTTTTAATGAATCAGATTACATTTATCAGATGAATGGAATTAATTTTATATGCGCAATAAAATTGATTAGATAAAAATATTTTAGCTTTGTTTATTTGAATATTAATGCATGGCATTGTTTTGAGCATGATGTACAACGTGTTTATATCATAAACACCATTATGTAGATAGATTAATCACTGTGGGCATGAAATTTTTCCTAAAAATTTATTGATGTGTCAGAAATGAAAAAAAAAGTAATTTACAAGTGGTGCGTAGAAGACTGAAAATGTCCATTGCTCTTATTTGATTTTTGAGGCTCTTAGGCAACATTAGCAAAGAAATTATTGAATCAGTGTTCATGATATCAGGTCATCTGACATCTGTAAAAGATGGTCAATGAGCTTTATTGTACCACTGAATGATTTTGAGAGGGATAATAGAGAAGTCATTCGTTTGGGCATAACTCAAATACCAGCCGATGGACTGGTTCTTTATGTTGGTGCCTTATTGAGCAACAATCCAGTGTATTTGAGAAGGAATTTTCAATAAGGCCATTTAATTTAAAATGGCAGCCAATTTTTCATGATCTTTGTTAATTCAAGTCTTACTTTTCGGATGCCCGAGAGAAGGACTGCTCAAGAACAAATTTTCAAGATGGCCACTGAATTCAAAATGGCTGCCATTTTAATAAAAAGTCTAAATTACTCAAATACCAGAAAAGGGATTTGGTTCAAAGTTGATAAATTTATGCCTGGACATACAAATCCGCTCAAGAAGAGATTCTCAAGATGGCTGCTGGACAGCAAAATGGTGGCGTTATCTCAAATAACTTGCAGAACTTGTAGAACAAGTTAAGATATTTGGTTCAAATCCATTACTTGATCAATGACATCAGCAACAATTAGTCAAACTGTACTACTAGTTACGACAACAATTGTTTTATTATGAACATTAATATTTATTGTTTCACCCCTTTTTGCTGATATAGTTTCATGAATAGCCTTGCCCAAGTCAGTCTCTTACTTATCTTGATTTCTATTATGACCGCCTTGTACCAAAGAGAAAGCCACGTGCTTTACCGACAGTTTGTTGATGTCGGTAAAATTTGACCAATCAACGATGGCCCTGTAGCGTTAGCTCATTATTATGCACTGTCAAAAACAAGTACACTTTTCACCGGGACTTTTCACGAACAAATCTTGCACGAATCTGAGCACGAATTCATCATGAAAATACAAATATTTTATCAGATAAATATCAATGAGAGTTTAGTGGATGCCGGGGCATCGAGCGGATTACCAAAGGTGAGAAGATTTCAACAATAAACGTTGAAACGATCGCTGAACATGTAGGCTGAGATTCAATCACTGATCGATCGACGACAGCATGACCCGTTACATTGGACTAGGTCTTCGTGCATTTTCATCACGAAATCAGTTTTAAATCAACATTGATTGATGATTTAATTTATACTAATGACTCTTACCTTCCAGTGTACATTTAATTACATACTAATATATTGTAACTCTAAAGAAACACTCGATCAGATCATTGAATTTCAAGTCGTAGATGGGAAGTTTGTTTTGTTTATGCAGCTCAACCTAATAACGTTTTGATTGGTCACTAAGCCTGAAGTCACACGTCGTGTCCACGCGTTATCTGTCAACCAATAAGGTTTCGCGATACCCCTGATAGCGTAGGTATTATGGAAATCTCGAAACCGTTGAATATTTCAGCATAATAACAGCGGAGATGTATTGGATTGTACAAGGCGGTAATAATTCAAGATCAGATAAGTAAAAAAAATACCGACTTTAACAAGGCTATTTCATGAATTAAAACTAAAAATCAGCACTTAACAGCAGTAACCAGAACTATTCACTCCTGAATGAGATTCAACTGGGCCCTGGTGTTAAATTATTATTCCTAATGGGTAGCACTACCCCCTGTTTATGCAACTCCTGGAGCACACCCAAAATAGAATCCAACTCCTTTCTAAACTGTTCGAGTTCCTTATTTTTCACATCAACAACTGCCCTCCATTTTTCCACTTCATGTGTAACTGCAGCATTGTCAGTTGAGGCCTGCATTTGAGTGTTTCGTATGATTTGTCTCAGTTCTTGCTCTCGTTGTGAATGTCTTTGTTCCATCTCAGCGATTTTGTTCTGTATGGCATTAAAATGTTTCATCTCCTGTAAAAAGAAACATATCCACATATAATTTATGTCATAGCCTTTTATTCAAAGTACGAACATTTTGACGTAACATTATTTTTACATTTTCATACAACTGACAAGATTATAAGTGCGTGCTAAATCGTATATTGCTCGCAGAAATGACGTTATTAGTATTATTACCACCGTTAACTACCAGGACTGAAACAGCAAGAAAATCTTACGCATTGAACGATATCTGATTTCCCGGAGAAAATTGCCGGTCCAGAATATATTCTAGACCGGTCCATATGGACGACCACTATGACGTCACACATTTCTCATGTCGATATAGTAAAATGAATGCCTTCTAAACTAGCACTAAAACCCCTAGAACTGGCCCGGCAAGGTGGTAATAATATCAAATCAAACCACAGAGTTAAAAGTAAAAGAGTAATGACTTATTACTATTACTATAGGTAAGGTATGTATTTTTGTAAATGGCGTTAAACATATGTGATATAACAATGGTTCGTGACCATTTGGAACCGTTCACCAGTCATATTGTTAAATGTCATTTTATGCCTTATCTAATTTAGCATGACTTTTCCTAATTATTGTGGAATATCTATCCTTACCGGAGATTGTGTTTCCCGCGCCTCCCTCAGCTCATTACGCAACTCTTTGACCTCCATTTCTAGCGCAGCTTCTCTTATTCTTGATGCAGCCAAATCATCACGATCAATCTTCAGATCTTTGGTTTGTTGTTTTAGGTGTTTTAGCATAACCTGTAAATATGCAAGTATAAAATAATTACTATGATTACTGGGCTGAAATATCCATTGTGACCTGACACTACAACCCGCCACTTCACAATTTTTGAAAAAATTATAAATTTTTGAAAAATGAAAATGTTTCGAAAATATGAAATTTTTTTGAAAAATTGAAATTTAAAAAATGTAAAAATTTTGAATTTCATCCCTGATGTCATCCTTCTTATCCTGATATCAACTCTGATGTCATCCCTGTCCCGAATATGTGACTTATTACTTGCTATTATATACCTGATATTGCTCTGACCATGGTATAATAACAATATCAATGTATACTGCACTGCATAAAAGATTACAAAATTCAAGATGATTTTTGATAATACAATCTTTGAATATCAGGTATTTTTTATTTTGGACTTTTTTTTTAATTTCTCCATACTAATGCATGTACTACAGGGTGGGCCAAAAAAAACGCCAATTTTTTTCAAGACACTACAACTTTTTTATTTTCCAACCTACATACCCCAAATTTTGCAGTTATATAGTGCCAGGGGTTCTTAGTAATAATATAATGTAACAAGTCCTTCAACTTGGATTATATCTGATTTAAAAGAGGAGTTCAATTGGTCCACCACCCTATTTGATGATATATTTTAGTTTTAGTCGCCTCGCTGATATAGCAGTATCAATGAAATGTTAGCTAAGTTTTTTTCAACCTGTCTTAATTGCCAGCTTTAGTTGAGCAATTTTCTAGATTGGGTGCCTTCATACAATATCCTTGAGACCTTCCCATACCCTATACTCACTGGGGTTTGCATCAGGACTATTAGCTTGGCGATCATCAGGCCATATCAGTTTAGGAACATTTTGCAAATTATGCTTATTTCTCATGGCACACCACATGTTAAAGTGAGACACTGGTGACATATTTTAGTAAAGTAAAAGTGTTCAATTCATGATACATGGCTAGATAACAACCTCAAGTTTCATTTGGTATGCAAATTATGATTTTATATCAAAAGTTATAGCATTTTGAAAAAAAGTAGCATTTTTTTTGGCCCACCCTGTATATATCATAATATAATCCATTAAAAATTGTCATATTGTTTCTCAAAGCTTTGCTGCAATTAAATCACTTTATTACCCAAGCAATACCTGTACTCTATATAGAATCTCACCTGTTGAGAATCTATTGTGTTTTGAAGTTCAGCCAGTTTACTGTTGGAATATTGGAGCGAATGCTCGGTTATTAGTCGCTGCTTCTCAGCAGCATTTTCTTGCCGTAATGTATTCAACTAAAAAAAATTGAAAATCATGGTTTCAATATGTAAAGCAACGGAATAAAGAAATACAGTAAATACACAGTATTCTGTAATGTATTTCAAGCCACCTTTAGGTGCATTTATGTATTTAGACTGCCACATAATCAATTGATGTCAACAAGAGGCTGATTTCATTAATATGTGAATGCATAATCAAATTATTTCAGGTTAAAAATTTCCGAAGATGAAAAATCCAAAATGTGTGTTGAAAAATTCAATATTGGTTCAAAGCCTTCCAGAAATGCAATGCAAGTGTGTTATTTCAAATAAGTAGATTAAATTATTATTAAAATTTGTCAAGACATTTTTTAATCTTTTCATTTCCATTCCATACATTCATAAATTTCTAGAGTTATTATGTAGACTACAGTGCTTTCAGAATGGAGAAAATTCAGTAGTTTATGTGGTTATTCTTGGGATTAGACAATGTAAAGATGCCATGACAACGATGATGCTTATATACTGAATACTATTTCTCAAATAGTGTTCTATTTGGGAGGTGTTCCTCTCAGAGATTCATTTTACATTTAGTTTTTAGGCAACAATATAAAAGTTGTTCTTGTTTCATTTACGGAGGTGTTCCACTTTTATTAGATGTTTTATTGGACTAATACCTCTTGTAGCAGATTTTCTCTGTCTCTCCTAGCAACAGCCTCTCCTTCAGCTATAACTTTGTTGAGATCCACTCTCTCTTGGTGGCCCTCAAGCTCAAGTCTTTCAACCTACAATGTTACATAGTAATATGTATTAAGGTATTTACACTAAACAGCCTCTACTTCAGCTATAGCTTTGTTGAGATCCACTCTCTCTTGGTGGCCCTCAAGCTCATGTCTCTCAACCTACAATGTTACATAGTAATATGTATTAAGGTATTTACACTAAACAGCCTCTACTTCAGCTATAGCTTTGTTGAGATCCACTCTCTCTTGGTGGCCCTCAAGCTCATGTCTCTCAACCTACAATGTTACATAGTAATATGTATTAAGGTATTTACACTAAACAGCCTCTACTTCAGCTATAGCTTTGTTAAGATCCACTCCTTCTTGGTGGCCTTCAAGTTCAAGTCTCTCAACCTACAATGTTACATAGTAATATGTATTAAGGTATTTACACTAAACAGCCTCTGCTTCAACTATAGCTTTGTTGAGATCCACTCTCTCTTGGTGGCCCTCAAGCTCAAGTCTCTCAACCTACAATATTACATAGTAATATGTATTAAGGTATTTACACTAAACAGCCTCTGCTTCAACTATAACTTTGTTAAGATCCACTCTCTCTTGGTGGCCCTCAAGCTCAAGTCTCTCAACCTACAATGTTACATAGTAATATGTATTAAGGTATTTACACTAAACAGCCTCTACTTCAGCTATAGCTTTGTTGAGATCCACTCTCTCTTGGTGGCCCTCAAGCTCAAGTCTCTCAACCTACAATATTACATAGTAATATGTATTAAGGTATTTACACTAAACAGCCTCTGCTTCAACTATAGCTTTGTTAAGATCCACTCTCTCTTGGTGGCTTTCAAGCTCAAGTCTCTCAACCTACAATATTACATAGTAATATGTATTAAGGTATTTACACTAAACAGCCTCTGTTTCAGCTATAGCTTTGTTAAGATCCACTCTCTCTTGGTGGCTTTCAAGCTCAAGTCTCTCAACCTACAATATTACATAGTAATATGTATTAAGGTATTTACACTAAACAGCCTCTGCTTCAGCTATAGCTTTGTTGAGATCCACTCTCTCTTGGTGGCCCTCAAGCTCAAGTCTCTCAACCCACAATGTTACATAGTAATATGCATTAAGGTATTTACACTAAACAGCCTCTACTTCAGCTATAGCTTTGTTGAGATCCACTCTCTCTTGGTGGCCCTCAAGCCCAAGTCTCTCAACCTACAATGTTACATAGTAATATGTATTAAGGTATTTACACTAAACAGCCTCTGCTTCAGCTATAGCTTTGTTGAGATCCACTCTCTCTTGGTGGCCTTCAAGGTCAAGTCTCTCAACCTACAATGTTACATAGTAATATGTATTAAGGTATTTACACTAAACAGCCTCTACTTCAGCTATAGCTTTGTTGAGATCCACTCTCTCTTGGTGGCCCTCAAGCTCAAGTCTCTCAACCTACAATGTTACATAGTAATATGTATTAAGGTATTTACACTACACAGCCTCTGCTTCAACTACAGCTTTGTTGAGATCCACTCTCTCTTGGTGGCCCTCAAGCTCAAGTCTCTCAACCTACAATGTTACATAGTAATATGTATTAAGGTATTTACACTAAACAGCCTCTGTTTCAGCTATAGCTTTGTTGAGATCCACTCTCTCTTGGTGGCCTTCAAGCCTCAACCTACAAAAATATCATTAAGTAATACATGTATTAAGATTGATGTGCCAATGTTAATATGTTGCTAATATTATACCACTCTAAGTCCGATTACAGTTGTATAACATGGGTCTATAACAACGATATACAACTCCTCCGTATACACTCCAGCGTATACCACTGTAGAAGTGCATTCTGGGAACTAATGAATATAGACCGAAGAACAAGGTGTATGTTTTGTTACACAGACTGTTGTGTCCCTCCAATGAGCAGAGCGAATGAGGAGTTCTGACGCTACAAAATTTTCATGATTTCCTAGAATCAAGTGACGTCATAAATGGTTCCGGCATGATTTGCTAGAATCAAGTGAAGTCATAAATGGCTCGAGATCAACATCGGCATTATTGAGTTGGCTATGGGATATTTTTTATGGTTTTTAATTGTTATGATTGTGTTCGAATCAACTGTAATTGAACTTAGAGTGGCGTAATAAGATTATATAATGTAGAATGAACCATTATATAACAATATTTAAAACATGTAAAACCTAGGATTATAACCTCATTTCCCAATTTTAGACCCCAATTTCCACTTACTATTCACCTCAAAACAATTTTTCCAGAAAGTGTTTTCAATATAGAAACTTTCTCTACTGTCCAAGCTGCAGGCAAATTGCTAAGACATCTTGGACGTTTGTTGTATTATCCTACCTTTAGTTAAGCTGTTCATTTTCAGCTAGGACATCTGAGATGTGTGCCCCTGCAAATGTGTCAGGAGTGTGTGCCTTAGAAACACTATATGTTGTATTATCCTACCTTTAGTTTAAGCTGTTCATTTTTGCCTTAGAAACACTATATGTTGTATTATCCTACCTTCAGTTTAAGCTGTTCATTTTTGCCTTAGAAACACTATATGTTGTATTATCCTACCTTCAGTTTAAGCTGTTCATTTTCAGCTAGGACATCTGAGATATGTGCCCCAGCAAACGTGTCAGGTGTGTGTGCCTTAGAAACACTATATGTTGTATTATCCTACCTTTAGTTTAAGCTGTTCATTTTCAGCTAGGACATCTGAGATATGTGCCCCAGCAAACGTGTCAGGTGTGTATGCCTTAGAAACACTATATGTTGTATTATCCTACCTTTAGTTTAAGCTGTTCATTTTCAGCTAAGACATCTGAAATATGTCCCCCAGCAAACATGTCAGGAGTGTATGCCTTAGAAACACTATATGTTGTATTATCCTACCTTTAGTTTAAGCTGTTCATTTTCAGCTAAGACATCTGAAATATGTCCCCCAGCAAACATGTCAGGAGTGTATGCCTTAGAAACACTATATGTTGTATTATCCTACCTTTAGTTTGAGCTGTTCATTTTCAGCTAGGACATCTGAGATATGTGCCCCAGCAAACATGTCAGGTGTGTATGCCTTAGAAACACTATATGTTGTATTATCCTACCTTCAGTTTAAGCTGTTCATTTTCAGCTAGGACATCTGAGATATGTGCCCCAGCAAACGTGTCAGGTGTGTGTGCCTTAGAAACACTATATGTTGTATTATCCTACCTTTAGTTTAAGCTGTTCATTTTCAGCTAGGACATCTGAGATATGTGCACCAGCAAACGTGTCAGGTGTGTATGCCTTAGAAACATTATATGTTGTATTATCCTACCTTTAGTTTAAGCTGTTCATTTTCAGCTAGGACATCTGAGATATGTGCCCCAGCAAACGTGTCAGGTGTGTATGCCTTAGAAACACTATATGTTGTATTATAACATACCTATGATGATGTACAGTGCAAAGTGTACACAAGACAGCGGGCCAATATAAGTTTTGAAAAGCCCGCGCCCGCTAACTTTCTGATTGGTCAAGGCGCTGACGTCATAACCAATCAATCGAAGATAAAACTGCGCGAGCAATTTTTCTAAACTCATTTCAATCATTTTCAAACCATTTGTTTGTCAATTCTATAAGAAAACAGTGCGCTCTGACCAGTCTACATCATCATAGGTATGTTATAAATCGTTTATGTCACTATCGTGGCACATATGCCCTCGGTTCTCAGAGATCAATGTCCCTCCCAAGGTTGGGCCATATATCACTGAGACCTCGGGCATATATGCCACGATAGTGACATAACCTCTAATTATCCTACCTTTAGTTTAAGCTGTTCATTTTCAGCTAAGACATCTGAAATATGTCCCCCAGCAAACATGTCAGGAGTGTATGCCTTAGAAACACTATATGTTGTATTATCCTACCTTTAGTTTAAGCTGTTCATTTTCAGCTAAGACATCTGAAATATGTCCCCCAGCAAACATGTCAGGAGTGTATGCCTTAGAAACACTATATGTTGTATTATCCTACCTTTAGTTTGAGCTGTTCATTTTCAGCTAGGACATCTGAGATATGTGCCCCAGCAAACGTGTCAGGTGTGTATGCCTTAGAAACACTATATGTTGTATTATCCTACCTTTAGTTTAAGCTGTTCATTTTCAGCTAGGACATCTGAGATATGTGCCCCAGCAAACGTGTCAGGTGTGTATGCCTTAGAAACACTATATGTTGTATTATCCTACCTTTAGTTTAAGCTGTTCATTTTCAGCTAGGACATCTGAGATATGTGCCCCAGCAAACGTGTCAGGTGTGTATGCCTTAGAAACACTATATGTTGTATTATCCTACCTTTAGTTTAAGCTGTTCATTTTCAGCTAGGACATCTGAGATATTTGCCCCTGCAAACGTGTCAGGTGTGTATGCCTTAGAAACACTATATGTTGTATTATCCTACCTTTAGTTTAAGCTGTTCATTTTCAGCTAGGACATCTGAGATATGTGCCCCTGCAAACGTGTCAGGTGTGTATGCCTTAGAAACACTATATGTTGTATTATCCTACCTTTAGTTTAAGCTGTTCATTTTCAGCTAGGACATCTGAGATATGTGCCCCTGCAAATGAGTCAGGTGTGTATGCCTTAGAAACACTATATGTTGTATTATCCTACCTTTAGTTTAAGCTGTTCATTTTCAGCTAGGACATCTGAGATATGTGCCCCAGCAAACGTGTCAGGTGTGTATGCCTTAGAAACACTGTATGTTGTATTATCCTACCTTTAGTTTAAGCTGTTCATTTTCAGCTAGGACATCTGAGATATGTGCCCCAGCAAACGTGTCAGGTGTGTATGCCTTAGAAACACTATATGTTGTATTATCCTACCTTTAGTTTAAGCTGTTCATTTTCAGCTAGGACATCTGAGATATGTGCCCCAGCAAACGTGTCAGGTGTGTATGCCTTAGAAACACTATATGTTGTATTATCCTACCTTCAGTTTAAGCTGTTCATTTTTGCCTTAGAAACACTATATGTTGTATTATCCTACCTTTAGTTTAAGCTGTTCATTTTCAGCTAGGACATCTGAGATATGTGCCCCAGCAAACATGTCAGGTGTGTATGCCTTAGAAACACTATATGTTGTATTATCCTACCTTTAGTTTAAGCTGTTCATTTTCAGCTAGGACATCTGAGATATGTGCCCCTGCAAATGTGTCAGGTGTATAAGCTTTGGAAACACTGTAGGGATCTGCGTAGACTTCCAAAGGAGTAGGTTCAGGAACTGATGATTTTTGTCCCGAGTGTGATTTCCTGCTTGGCTTTTTTGCTCTTTTTTCCCCTAGTAAAATTATTTATGAATGCATATTATTTTTTAGCCTCCAATAGTGAAGAGTGGTTGTTAAATAAATACAATTAAATGACTACAGGCTAATTATCTGTCAAAACTGGGACAGTCAAAACTTAAACAAAAATGGCTATGCATGTGTGACACTCAAATATGCAATACATTTACATGATTTTACCACTAATCTATATGATAAAGTAATATAAAACATCATGAAATATAAACACCTAATGATATGAAGATTTTCAATATTATTCGCAGAGTACCTTTAATATGGGCTTCATGTCGTGCTGAATCCACCAAAATTTGCTGTTTTTCTTTTTGTGAGGAAGATAGCCGATCCTGCAGTAAAAGAATCTCTGAGTTCCTATTGGCTAATTCTTTCTGGAGATTCTGTAGTTTTACAAGTAGACTAGATTCAGAGTCCTGCATGGCTTTCAGTTCTGATTTTGATACACCTAGAAACAAAACAACTTGACTATGGAATTGTTCTAAAGTAAGTTAAGTAATTATTTAATTCAGTTGTATGCTGCAAAAAGCATGTTCAGTACATACAAATATAATATAATATATAAGACATGAATATAATATATAACATGACGTCATGCACTCACACAAATCATCACAGTGGCCCAATCAACACCAAACTCTATTTCAAGAATATTTTAAATAAACTTAGCAGTCATTGCAATGGCTAATACATCCAATAATTTCTTTTAAAATCATCATAGTTAAACTTTGGTAATCTTCGAAGTCCAGTCAAAACTCTTTTTAAGATATCCTTAACACTTTTAAACCATTTATTAGTTATAATTAAGTTACCATTTCACAATCTTCAGTGTAAAATATTTGTGATGTATAATGATATTGTAATCAAGTAAAACATGAAATTAATAACATGCAATATGTTACCACCTGCCATTGTTTACAGATGCTGACATGAACTGCAGAACACCAACTAACAAATGCCAAACACCATCCACAAACAAGGTGAAGATCATATCAATATGTCACCATATGTCAGCACTTGTGATGGTGACATAACAATATGTAACCATATGTCATCACATGTGATGGTAAAATAACAATATGTAACCATGTCATCACATGTGATGGTGACATAACAATATGTATTCATATGTCATCACATGTGATGGTGACATTACAATATGTAACCATGTCATCACTTGTGATGGTGACATAACAATATGTGACCATATGTCATCACATGTGATGGTGACATAACAATATGTGACCATATGTCATCACATGTGATGGTGACATAACAATATGTGACCATATGTCATCACATGTGATGGTGACATAACAATATGTAACCATATGTCATCACATGTGATAGTGGCATAACAATATGTCACCATATGTCATCACATGTGATGGTGACATAACAATATGTAACCATATGTCATCACATGTGATGGTGACATAACAATATGTCCCCATATGTGATCACATGTGATGGTGACATAACAATATGTCACCATATGTCATCACTTGTGATGGTGACATAACAATACATGTATGTCACCATATGTCATCACATGTGATGGTGACATGACAATATGTCACCATATGTCATCACTTGTGTTGGTGACATAAGAAATCATTGCAATATCCCAATCTTTACAGATCTGCAAACGGTACCTGCCATTTTTTGGTGTTGGAGTTCTTTTTTTAATTTTTCTAATTCTGAAGTCAGTTCTGCTAAATGTTTCTTGTATCTCTCTCTCACACTGTCCAGTTCTTTCTGTAAGGCAATACCATGAGTGTGGGGATGTGAGCTGGACTGACCTGCTGTTTGTTTTTCTAATGTGTCGATCCTGTCTTCGTACTGCATCTAGTAGTGGAGAAAACTATTAAGTTATAGCGAATTGTCTAAGGCTAAAGTGGGGTATACTGTCTATTTCTTTGTGGGTCGATCTGATCTATGAATGGATTTCAACCAAACATTAATCCTGTACAATATCCCAATCAAAACAATGAAAAAGAAATCCATCTTTACATAAAGAAAGGACCATGGTACACCATAGCAAATCCTGCCCCTCTTGTGTAACATAGGATACTTAATGAGTAAATCTTTCAATTGTTTGGTAGAATATGTACATAAGAGTATGTCTTTCATCAGATTTTAGACAATGTGCCAATTTGACAAAATTCATTCACAAAGATGAAATCAAAAACTAATAACATAACAACTTCACCTCTGACTACTAAGAGTTTAAATTTTTACCTTAACTGCCTCATATTTCTGTTCCATTACTCTCAGGCTGTGTTTACAATCTTCATCTTTTTTCTCAAGCTGTTTCTCAAGCTTATCAATCTGAAGAACAAATAATGAGAACACTTGTTTAAATAAAATTCAAACAAGATACAAATAAAAATTGATAATTATAGCAGACAAAAATATAATGAACTTACTGATTCCATTTTCCAAAGTTTTCTTTCAATCAATAGTTTTGACACAACATAAATATAACAACTTTTTTTCTTTATTACTATTTTGCTATTACCTGACCCTCCAAGAATTTAACACTATGAGATTTTTCCGTAGGGGTATCAGGCACGGCTGCTGCGGCCCACATCAATGCTGGTAAAGAATTTGGGTTTCTTTTCTTGAGGATGCCCTCTAATTCTTTCACCTGGAAAAGAACAGAAACTAGAGATATGGCAACTTCAAGTTGTATCAGGATAAATGCATGATAATCAATGTGGGTAAAGAATATGAAAATATTTTTATGAAAAAATTGGCATCGCAATTGTGAATTTGTAAACAGAAGGATAGAGACACAAATACCACAAGTCATATATAAGCAAATATAGCAACATAAACCAACATCTGCTGAACACAAAACAAACCCCTAAAAATGATTTGATGGCCCTGAGCTAATATGCCTTAAGAGCTCTGATTGCCCCCAGACTGAACCTGTTAACTGAAGGATGATACCCATATATTCAGAATAACATCAGCAAACATAGCAACATAAACCAACATCTGCTTCAGTTAAAAAAAAACCTGCTCTGATGACCCCAGATTAATGTTAATTTTGTATCGTATTGTATTTTGTTTACCATCAATGAAGGTGAGCAGTACCTCTTGGGTATATCACGTATATATATATATACGGTCGTAATTCACGTAATTAACCTGGAAGATAGACCCAGAAACCCCTCCTTGAAGGAGCCCTGTGTTCTTTTATGTGCACTTATACATAGACATACGAGTACACAGCACAGCCTTTTGTACGAATTGCGGACCACTATAAGTCAAACTCCCTGAAGTACTTCATGCAAACAAGCAAATTTCAGTCTTGCCTGAACCGGGATCGAATCCGGGACCTATTGCGTAAGAGGTACATGCGCTACCGCTGAGCTATACGGGTGGACCACTTGTACCACTAATCATACAAACCTGTCTTTGTAAGTCTTGTATCTTCTTTGATTCGGTGCTTCGTTCTTTGGCTTTAATCTTGATGTCATTTTCCTTCTCACTGGCCTACAAAATACAGTTGCAATGACGCACCCATTTAGAGCACTATTACAGTAGAACCTGCTAAGTGGAACACCTCCGTAAGTGGAACACCTCGCAAGTGGAACACTTTTTCAAAGTCCCGTTTAAAAAACCCATTGCCTTAATGTTAATTTAACCTCTGTAAGTGGAACACCTCCAAACTTGAACAGTGAACACAACATATTGGAAAATTAACCTGCTAAGTGGAACAGTCAATTTTCCATAAATTTCAATATTGATACTTATGTAAACAGAATTAACCTCTTCCAGTGATATATGGTAATAACGTGATAATTGGCACATTAGAATTTTAATGGATTACCATATAGCAAATTGGATTAACCTCCTGTAGATCAACATGTGATGCTACCACTAATTAATTTGATAATTAGCAAATAAGGATTTCATAAGATTATCATTAATCAAATTGGATTAACCTCCTGTAGAGATGGACAAGTGATGCTACCTCTAATTAATACCCCTTGCTGTTTGTTTCAAACTTGATAAGTAAGATTAAGAATGTCAGTTAAAACAAATGAATTATTAGCAGACGGAACAAGTCTTTAAAACTTAATTGCCAAATCTTTGTGCCTGAGTCTGGCAGAATGAGGAGGATTAAGAATATCAGAAAACATTTTTGGCAGAATGAGGAGGAATAAGAATGTCAGAATACATTTTTGGCAGAATGAGGAGAATTAAGAATGTCAGATACCTTTTTTGAGTAAAACAAATGGATAGTTTATGGTATATAGCTGCCCTGCAATGAACGGAGAATCGTATTTTCCGTGATACATATAAACCCTATGTTTGATCTTGGGTGTTGTTTAAATCCCCGCGAATCCAAAACCTCCGTAAGTGGAACACCTCCTAAGTGGAACGCTTTTTGGCAGAACGAAGGGTGTTCCACTTACACAGGTTCTACTGTATATATTTTTATCAGTGTAAATAAATGAAGTACATTGCCCCTGGGGATGTTACATAGTAAATTCTGATGTAATCATTTTTTGGGTCATAACAGAGTGAGAGTTTTTTTTGTATTGTAAGTTATTTTTAAAATTACACTTTTAAATATGGAATGTATTGGAATCAATATTATAGATGTGTTTTTTTAATTCTGACGATTTATGGTCCCTTTTGATTGCTCACCTTATTTCTTATTTGTGCAAGTTGTTTCTTCAACTGCACAATTTCTTCTTCCTTGGTCTGTATAATACTAGCATCTCTATCCAGCAAATCCTGGTTCTCTGCATACCACTTTACCCTCTTCTTTAATCTCTCTACTTCAACAAGTAGTTCCCTTTGAGTCTCCTAATAAAGGATTGCATAATAATTATACGTATATGACTATAACTTGTGGCTACAATCATTACAGTTTAAGCATCTCTGACTTGTAGAATAAAAGTATGAAAAATGTTTAACAAAAAAATGTGTATACAAAAAAGCAAAAGGATGAATAAGTTACAAATGTCAAGCTCATAACTCCACTTTTCAAATCCACTTGTACTAGTAGCTGAAATTAATGGGGAAAATGTTGTGAAACATTCATTTCCATAGGAACCATTTTAATATATTATATAAGTGTTCTTCATAAAATGAAGTATTTGCGTAATTATAAACCTTGTCTTTATCTGTATTTAGATTCCTCATTTTGTCCATTGTCTCTCTCATATCTTCCCCTTCTACAACTAGCATTTCTATATGTTTCTCATAAAATGCTGTATTTGCTGATATAAACTAACCTTGTCTTTATCTGTATTTAGATTCCTCATTTTGTCCATTGTCTCTCTCATCTCCTCTCCTTCTACAACTGGCATTTCTATGTGTTTCTCATAAAATGCTGTATTTGCTGATATAAACTAACCTTGTCTTTATCTGTATTTAGACTCCTCATTTTGTCCATTGTCTCTCTCATCTCCTCTCCTTCTGCAACTAGCATTTCTATGTGTTTCTCATAAAGTGTTGTATTTGCATATATAAACTAACCTTGTCTTTATCTGTATTTAGACTCCTCATTTTGTCAATTGTCACTCTCATATCTTCCCCTTCTGCAACTAGCATTTCTATATGTTTCTCATAAAATGCTGTATTTGCTGATATAAACTAACCTTGTCTTTATCTGTATTTAGACTCCTCATTTTGTCCATTGTCTCTCTCATCTCCTCTCCTTCTGCAACTAGCATTTCTATGTGTTTCTCATAAAGTGTTGTATTTGCATATATAAACTAACCTTGTCTTTATCTGTATTTAGACTCCTCATTTTGTCCATTGTCACTCTCATATCTTCCCCTTCTGCAACTAGCATTTCTATATGTTTCTCATAAAATGCTGTATTTGCTGATATAAACTAACCTTGTCTTTATCTGTATTTAGATTCCTCATTTTGTCCATTGTCTCTCTCATCTCCTCTCCTTCTACAACTAGCATTTCTATATGTTTCTCATAAAATGCTGTATTTGCTGATATAAACTAACCTTGTCTTTATCTGTATTTAGATTCCTCATTTTGTCCATTGTCTCTCTCATCTCCTCTCCTTCTACAACTAGCATTTCTATATGTTTCTCATAAAATGCTGTATTTGCTGATATAAACTAACCTTGTCTTTATCTGTATTTAGACTCCTCATTTTGTCCATTGTCTCTCTCATCTCCTCTCCTTCTGCAACTAGCATTTCTATGTGTTTCTCATAAAATGCTGTATTTGCTGATATAAACTAACCTTGTCTTTATCTGTATTTAGATTCCTCATTTTGTCCATTGTCTCTCTCATCTCCTCTCCTTCTACAACTAGCATTTCTATATGTTTCTCATAAAATGCTGTATTTGCTGATATAAACTAACCTTGTCTTTATCTGTATTTAGACTCCTCATTTTGTCCATTGTCTCCCTCATCTCCTCTCCTTCTACAACTAGCATTTCTATATGTTTCTCATAAAGTGTTGTATTTGCATATATAAACTAACCTTGTCTTTATCTGTATTTAGACTCCTCATTTTGTCCATTGTCACTCTCATATCTTCCCCTTCTGCAACTAGCATTTCTATATGTTTCTCATAAAATGCTGTATTTGCTGATATAAACTAACCTTGTCTTTATCTGTATTTAGATTCCTCATTTTGTCCATTGTCTCTCTCATCTCCTTTCCTTCTACAACTAGCATTTCTATATGTTTCTCATAAAGTGTTGTATTTGCATAAACTAACCTTGTCTTTATCTGTATTTAGACTCCTCATTTTGTCCATTGTCTCTCTCATATCTTCCCCTTCTGCAACTAGCATTTCTATATGTTTCTCATAAAGTGTTGTATTTGCATAAACTAACCTTGTCTTTATCTGTATTTAGACTCCTCATTTTGTCCATTGTCTCTCTCATATCTTCCCCTTCTGCAACTAGCATTTCTATGTGTTTCTTATAAAATGTAGTATTTGCATATATAAACTAACCTTGTCTTTATCTGTATTTAGACTCCTCATTTTGTCCATTGTCTCCCTCATCTCTTCTCCTTCTACAACTAGCATTTCTATATGTTTCTCATAAAATGCTGTATTTGCTGATATAAACTAACCTTGTCTTTATCTGTATTTAGACTCCTCATTTTGTCCATTGTCTCTCTCATATCTTCCCCTTCTGCAACTAGCATTTATATATGTTTCTCATAAAATGTTGTATTTGCTGATATAAACTAACCTTGTCTTTATCTGTATTTAGACTCCTCATTTTGTCCATTGTCTCTCTCATATCTTCCCCTTCTGCAACTAGCATTTATATATGTTTCTCATAAAGTATTGTATTTGCTTATATAAACTAACCTTGTCTTTATCTGTATTTAGACTCCTCATTTTGTCCATTGTCTCTCTCATGTCTTCCCCTTCTGCAACTAGCATTTCTATATGTTTCTCATAAAGTGTTGTATTTGCTGATATAAACTAACCTTGTCTTTATCTGTATTTAGACTCCTCATTTTGTCCATTGTCTCTCTCATATCATCCCCTTCTGCAACTAGCATTTCTATATGTTTCTCATAAAATGCTGTATTTGCTGATATAAACTAACCTTGTCTTTATCTGTATTTAGATTCCTCATTTTGTCCATTGTCTCTCTCATATCTTCCCCTTCTGCAACTAGCATTTATATATGTTTCTCATAAAGTATTGTATTTGCTTATATACACTAACCTTGTCTTTATCTGTATTTAGATTCCTCATTTTGTCCATTGTCTCCCTCATCTCCTCTCCTTCTGCAACTAGCATTTCTATATGTTTGTCATAAAGTATTGTATTTGCTTATATACACTAACCTTGTCTTTATCTGTATTTAGATTCCTCATTTTGTCCATTGTCTCTCTCATATCTTCCCCTTCTGCAACTAGCATTTCTATGTGTTTCTCATAAAATGCTGTATTTGCATATATAAACTAACCTTGTCTTTATCTGTATTTAGACTCCTCATTTTGTCCATTGTCTCTCTCATATCTTCCCCTTCTGCAACTAGCATTTCTATGTGTTTCTCATAAAATGCTGTATTTGCATATATAAACTAACCTTGTCTTTATCTGTATTTAGACTCCTCATTTTGTCCATTGTCTCTCTCATCTCCTCTCCTTCTACAACTAGCATTTCTATATGTTTCTCATAAAATGCTGTATTTGCATATATAAACTAACCTTGTCTTTATCTGTATTTAGACTCCTCATTTTGTCCATTGTCACTCTCATATCTTCCCCTTCTACAACTAGCATTTCTATATGTTTCTCATAAAATGCTGTATTTGCTGATATAAACTAACCTTGTCTTTATCTGTATTTAGACTCCTCATTTTGTCCATTGTCTCTCTCATATCTTCCCCTTCTGCAACTAGCATTTCTATGTGTTTCTTATAAAATGTAGTATTTGCATATATAAACTAACCTTGTCTTTATCTGTATTTAGACTCCTCATTTTGTCCATTGTCTCCCTCATCCCTTCCCCTTCTGCAACTAGCATTTCTATATGTTTCTCACAAAATGCTGTATTTGCATATATAAACTAATGTCTTTATCTGTATTTAGACTCCTCATTTTGTCCATTGTCACTCTCATATCTTCCCCTTCTGCAACTAGCATTTCTATATGTTTCTCACAAAATGCTGTATTTGCATATATAAACTAATGTCTTTATCTGTATTTAGACTCCTCATTTTGTCCATTGTCACTCTCATATCTTCCCCTTCTGCAACTAGCATTTCTATATGTTTCTCACAAAATGCTGTATTTGCAGTGTTCTCCCCAAAAAAAATTTTCAACTGGGTGCAAGATTTCAAGTCTGAAAAAATCAGCACTCGCTATGCTCACAATATCTCAGTGTAGGTGCTTACTTCACTCACTTTTCAAATCAGAAGTTGAAGTGCAGATTCCAACTGGGTGCCAACTGGGGGGCCTTTGGTTTCAAGTAGGGGGAGCCCCCGGTAAAAGTGACATGGGGAGATCACTGATTTGCATATAAAATGTCTTTATCTGTATTTAGACTCCTCATTTTGTCCATTGTCACTCTCATATCTTCCCCTTCTGCAACTAGCATTTATATATGTTTCTCATAAAGTATTGTATTTGCTTATATAAACTAACCTTGTCTTTATCTGTATTTAGACTCCTCATTTTGTCCATTGTCTCTCTCATATCTTCTCCTTCTGCAACTAGCATTTCTATATGTTTCTCTAGCTCACGTCTTGTCTGCTCTAAAGTGCTGATCTCAAACTTCAGCTTGCCTTCTCTGGTCTAAAATCGATGAAAGAATATCATACACATATAAATATATACATTGTACATGAATTAAAAGATAAAAATATTCAGTACAAAAATAAAAATATGAGTTTAAAAAAAGATGAAAGAATATTCAAAAATTGTTTTAAAATATCATTAAGTCACAGCTGCTATGATAAAGTAAAGACCTCTGATTTAGATGACACACCTTGATAAAAGGAGTCTGACAATCTCACTATTATTTCCTCTATGTAGTATAAATGACACACTACATTTCACAGTAAGTAACAAGTCCAGGTCAGACCACACATTGAATAATATCACACCCTCGGAAAGATAAGATAATTTTAGGATGGAAAGTCATAAATGGTCTCTTAACATTCACCCAGAATCAATTTGCCAAACAATGGAATCTTGTTGACAAAATGAAGTTGGACACCCATCCATCCTCCCATCCAACTGCCCACTGTCAAACTGATTACAATAAAGCAATAAAATTAAATATACAATTATATGGAATTACCTTAGATTGTTTTAACTCAGCGTTTAATTGAGCGATTCTCCCTGCTCCTAGTACAGCACTATTCACACTACCAGACACGGTCTGGTGATCTGTGATTGTTCTACCTCCTTTTGTGGAGAGCTCTGTCTCAAGCCTTTCAACTTGTGATCTAAAAATGGGCAATCTTGTCATAACATAACACTATAAAACATGTGTTCTGATTGGTCAATTTAAACTTAAAAGTGTACAATACATGTAGATGTAATTTACTAATACACTTTAAAGAGATGGATCACACTTTTGTAATTACCCTTAGGAAAAAAAGTTAAGGGCACTACCCTGGGTTTACCCAAATGTAGCATTAACTTACCTTAATGTCAACCTTAATTCAAAATTACCCTCAATATTGGGGAAATTAACCTAACTTTACTCATAACTCGATGTTGGGTAATTATAAGGGTCAGTTAAGGGCTAAATATGTGTGATCTTAATATACCTAAATAGACCCCAATCAACCTTATTTTACCTTAATTAACCTCAGTTACCCTATTTTCTAGGTTACTTTATGTAATCTGTTTTTTTTTTGTTTTTTTTTGTCTATAAATATCATTTATCTTAAAGAACTATAGTCTACCAGTCAAACGATAAGTATATATTATATAAGACCACTTGTTTAACTTATAAAACTCTTATAGGAGTTGAGCTGGAAGTCTAATATAACAAATAATATTTGGCTTTTAGACTAACATGAAATGAAAATAAAAGTGACAACTACCTGATACTTATGATATGTAAGATGTATCAACATGGCCAATCTAGCCTTTTACATTATATAACATGCTATAATCCTCCCTGGACCTGTTTTGGAAGGCATGTGTATGGTTTATTATTAATCATGTAATGATACAATATGTCAATAAAAGTTATATATATTAGTGAGACTAGAGGTTTATTATTACAGCTCAATAATATTTGACTAGAAGGCACATTGCCAACTACTAAAAGGTATGATTTGGTGGACTCTAAGTATGGCTTTTTGAGTCATTTTCCTTAAAAAAGTAATTACTTGTATTTTATTTCATTGGCAATTATGCATTTTGTTAATTTTAAGCTGGATGACTTCGTCTAAAAAATGAATTCAATATATGGCTGAAATCAATGTGACCCTAAATTCTGATAATAATTTATCATGATCTACCCTTGACATGAACCTTGGTAAACATTAATTGAACCTTAATTGTCCCTTAAGTCCACCCTTATGTTGCCCCTTTAAGTGCACTTTAATTATCCCTTGAGTGCATGTATAATTTCCCTAAGTTTCCCTAATATTCCCATTGATTCACACAAGCCAACCATAACTTCACCTATCATTTAACATTACTTATAGAAAATGGGATTCACTGACTGCTTAGGTAATTTAATGTTTTCTACTTGAACCCCTTGTTAGAAATCCCTAATACTTTCTCACTAGATTTGTACTACCTTGTACTGTTTTGAGGGGGCTGTATTTCTTTCAATATATGTGCTAGGGGTCTAATATTGAAAGTAGTTAAAATTAGACTAGTTGGTACAATGGGAATGAAAACAGAAATTACATCTAAAATGATAATTACATGATAGTTGTGTTTTTTAAGACATTTAAATATGGCCAATCTAGCCATTCACATTGACAAATAGTGTGATTCTCACTGGAGCTGTTTTAAGGGCCATGAATCCCCCTGTTATTTAACCTAGATATCTAATATTACCAGTGAATTATATTTGGCTTTATGGCTGGCAAGAAATAATCAGAGAAATGACGACTTCCTGATAGTTCTGTTTTATGAGAGGTCTTAACATGGCCAATTTAGCTATTTTTAGAGCCATGGATCTCTTTTTTTATTAAAGCTAGATCTCTAATATAACAAGTGAATTATATTTGGCTTTTAGGCTATAGAGAAATGAGAATAAATATGACAATTACCCGATAGTTCTGTTTTTCAAGACATTTTAATATGGCCAATCTAAACATTGACATTGTCAAAATAGTTTGATTCTCTCTGGAACTGTTTTGAGAGCCATGTATATCTTCTGTTATTTAACCTAGATATCTAAAATTACAAGTGACTTATATTTGGCTTCATGGCTGACAAGAAATAATCAGAGAAATTATGACTATGTGATAGGTATGATTTGGTGGACTCTAAGCATGGCTTTTTGAGTCATTTTCCTTAAAAAAAGTAATTACTAGTATTTTATTTCATTGGCAATTATGCATTTTGTTAATTTTAAGCTGGATGACTTTGTCTAAAATATGATTCAATATATGGCTAAAATCAATGTGACCCTAAATTCTGATAATAATTTATCATGATCTACCCTTGACATGAACCTTGGTAAACATTAATCGAACCTTAATTGTCCCTTAAGTCCACCCTTATGTTGCCCTTAAGTGCACCTTTATTATCCCTTGAGTGCATGTATAATTTCCCTAAGTTTCCCTAAAATTCCCATTGATTCACAGAAGCCAACCATAACTTCACCTATCATTTAATATTACTTATAGAAAATGGGATTCACTGATTCCTTAGGTAATTTAATGTCTTCTACTTGGACCCCTTGTTAGGAATCCCTAATACCATCACACTAGATTTGTACTCCCTTGTACTGTTTTGAGGGACCTGTATTTCTTTCAATATATGTGGGAGGGGTCTAATATTTAAAGTAGTTAAAATTTGACTAGTTGGCACAATGGAAATGAAAACAGAAATTACAACTAAAATGACAATTACATGATAGTTCTGTTTTTTAAGACATTTATGGCCAATCTAGCCATTCACATTGACAAATAGTGTGATTCTCACTGGAGCTGTTTTGAGGGTCATGAATCTCTTCTGTTATTTAACCTAGATATCTAATATTACAAGTGAATTATATTTGGCTTTATGGCTGGCAAGAAATAATCAGAGAATTGACGACTTTCTGATAGTTCTGTTTTATGAGAGGCCTTAACATGGCCAATCTATAGCCATTTGCTTTGAAAACATATTGTGATTCTCTCTGGGGCTGTTTTGAGGGCCATGTATCCCTTTCATTATCTAACCTAGACTTCTAATATGACAAGTGAATTATATTTGGCTTTATGGCTGGCAAGAAATAATCAGAGAAATGACGACTTCCTGATAGTTCTGTTTTATGAGAGGCCTTAACATGGCCAATCTATAGCCATTTGCTTTGAAAACATATTGTGATTCTCAGGGGCTGTTTTGAGGGCCATGTATCCCTTTCATTATCTAACCTAGATTTCTAATATTACAAGTGATTTATATTTAGCTTAAGCTGAGCAGAAAATGAAAATAAAAATGACACAACCCGATAGCTCTGTTTTGTAAGACATCTTGACATTGTCAATCGAGCCATTTACCTTGATATTATAAGGTGAATCTCTCAGGAGCTGTTTTTGAAAGCAGTGTATCTCTTTTGCTATTTAGGCTGTCTGTCTAATATAACAATTCAATTATATTTGGCTTTAGTGCTAGCAAGAAATGAAAATAAAAATTACAACGTCCCAAGAGTTGTTTTGAAAGACATCTTAGCATGGTCAATCAAGCCATTTACCTTGATATTATAATGACAATCTCCCAGGAGCTGTTTTGAGGGCAGTTAAGTTAGATGTCTCATATTACAACTGAATTATATTTGGCTTACTTGCTAGAAAGAAATGAAAAAAGGACAACTACCCAATAGGTATGATTTGGTAGATCTCTTAGCATGGCTTTTTCGGTCATTTTTTCGGTCATTTTCCTTTATAAAAGGGACCTATTTCTCATTCCATAAATGCGCTGGGGGTCTCATATTTAAGGTTGTTAATATTTGACTATTAGGCACAATGGAAATGAACACATAAATTACAACTTTTTGAAAATTATGAATTGTTTGACCTCTAAACATTGCCAATCTAAGCCCCTTGATAAAATACTCTGATTCTCTCTGGAGCTATTTCGAAAGCGAGGAAACTCTTTTTTTTATTAAAGCTAGATCCCTGATACAACAAGTGAATTATATTTGGCTTTTAGGCAATAGAGAAATGAGAATAAATATGACAATTACCCGATAGTTCTATGTTTTTTAAGACATTTTAAAGTGTGCGCCTGACCCGGCTACGTATAGCACAGAGTTTATACTGGCGGATTAGACTAGTTCATTTTTTATATGTGTGTGAAAGCTTTCTCTTATTTGCGTTTTTTCGTTTAGTACGGTTTTGTTATAATTGCCGAGGTCATATAACCGGGATAAAACAATGATTATCGTTGACTGCCCACACACAAAACATACGTTGAGTGAACAGTGTTATTACAAACAACAGGCTTTAGAATACAAAGCCCAGTAGTGTGATAATAAGCTGTACACTACCACTGCTGCATGTACATATTACTAATTTACTAGGGCTCCCAAAGAGTGGATAGGGAGGTTGTGTTTGTCACTTTTAAATTTTACATTTCAAAATTGTCATTTTACATGTCATAATTTGTTGGTTTCATTCGTTTAGCCAATCAAAACATTGTAAAACAATAAATCGTCTGTTACATACAATCAATTTTGTTCAGTTTTGATTAGTTGTCAGAATAAAGTTACGTTCATCTGAATCCATGTATCAAAACAAAAATCCTATTTTCACTTCAAAATACTTCAGTGAGATGAAGGCTCGGAATTGTCACATGCAATAACTTATTGTCGTATTCGTTATTTTATCTTCTCGATAGTAGCATTTAGTCGCACATTTGATGCCAGGTCACCTTGTCGCGTACCTCTTGGGGAACCCCACATTTATGTGTGTACTCATGGAAGTAAATTCCCCGGTGTAGCCGAGAGCCACAAACTTTTCAACAGGTTCGAAATGACCAATTTCTCTCATATATACTCTAAATATTTTATTATTTAGCACCTACAAAGTATTGCTAATAACCATATGTAATTTCAATAAGGAAACTTATCTGGCTACATATAAATTCAATATCAACACTAGCTGTTCTCTCAACACGTCCTGGCTTACCTTGTGGTGACAAACCCTGGATTTTCGCTATTTATAGTTTATCAACACCTGGACGCATACGCATTTTATAGTTTATCGGACACTTTAATATGGCCAATTTAGACGTTGTCAAAATAGTTTGATTCTCTCTGGAGCTGTTTTGAGAGCCATGGATCTCTTCTGTTATTTAACCTAGATATCTAATATTACAAGTGAATTATATTTGGCTTCATGGCTGACAAGAAATAATCAGAGAAATTATGACAATATGATAGTTCTGTTTTATAAGAGGCCTTAAAAATGGCTAATCTAGTCATTTGGTTTAAAAAACATACTGTGATTCTCTCTTGGGCAGTTTTGAAGCCCATATATCTTGTTTGTTATTTAAGCTAGATGCCTAATATCACAGGTGAATAATATTTAGCTTTAAGGTTAGCAAAAATTGAAAATAGAAATGACAACTATCTAATAGTTCTGCTTTGTAAGACATCTTAACATGGCCAGTCTAGCCACTTACATTGAAATCATAATGTGAATCTCTCATGACCTCTCATCTCTCATGAACCATGGACCTATATCCGAGGATATAGGTCCATGCATGAACATACTATGATTCTTTCTGGGGCTGTTTTGAGGGTCACATGTCTCTCATATTAGTTGAGCTGGATTTCTAATATAACAAGTGAATAATATTTGGCTTTTAGACTAACATGAAATGAAAATAAAAGTGACAACTACCTGATACTTATGAAATGTAAGATGTATCAACATGGCCAATCTAGCCTTTTACATTATATAACATGCTATAATCCTCCCTAGAGCTGTTTTGGAAGGCATGTGTATGGTTTATTAGTGAGACTAGAGGTCTATTATTACAGCTCAATAATATTTGACTAGAAGGCACATTGTCAACTACTAATAGGTATGATTTGGTGGACTCTAAGCATGGGTTTTTGAGTCATTTTCCTTTAAAAAGTAATTACTAGTATTTTATTTCATTGGCAATTATGCATTTTGTTAATTATAAGCGTGGATGACTTTGTCTGAATAATGTATTCAATATATGGCTGAAATTAATGTGACCCTAATTTCTGATAATAATTTATCATGATCTACCCTTGACATGAACCTTGGTAAACATTAATTGAACCTTAATTGTCCCTTAAGTCCACCCTTATGTTGCCCTGAAGTGCACCTTAATTATCCGTCGAGTGCATGTATAATTTCCCTAAGTTTCCCTAATATTCCCATTGATTCACACAAGCCAACCATAACTTCACTTATCATTTAATATTACTTATGGAAATGAAAGATGAAAATGGTAATGGAAATGAAAGCAGAAATTACAACTAAAATGACAATTACATGATAATTCTGTTTTTTAAGACATTTAAATAAGCCAATGTAATGTTTTTTTACTTGAACCACTTGTAAGGATTCCCTTAATACCATTACATATTATTTGTACTCACTTGGCAGTTTTGAGGTACCAGTATCTAGCTTTAAGGCTCACAAGAAATTTATCAAAATAAAAATGGCAATACCCGATAGTTATGTTTTGCAAGACGCCTAAACATGGCCAATCTAGCCGTTTATCTTAAAATAGCGTGATTTTCTTGATATGTTTGAGAATCATGGATCATTTTTGTTATTTAAGCTTGTTGTTTTACGATACAAATTAATTATATTTAGCTTTTTGGCTAACAATAAAAATGACAACTAGCGATAGTTCTCATTTGTAAAATGTCTTAACATGGCCAATATAGGCATTTATACTAGTTGACACTTAATGAAAATCATGGTTTCACACTTTATATTATCTAAAGAAAGTAGAATCCATTGTGACACTATACTTCCTATCCTTGATGAAACAAATTCCCATTCACTTGATAAATAAATCCAAAATATCTTTAATGTTTCTTAAATTTAATTTATTTCATTGATGGCTGATGTGTTTCCAATTCAGTAGCCTCAATATATCTTAAGTGTACATTTTAGAAATTAAGGGTAAACTAAGCCTGAACTAAACCTAGATACTTAACCCAAACTGGACCTAAATATTCCCTAAAATCAACACCATGGGTTATTCATGGTTTTAATTTTAAAAATTAAGGGGAAAATCAGGTAAAAAATGGGTTAAGGTTAACATTAACCTTAATGTTAAGGTTTGTGGATAAATTAATCTTAAAATAACCCCAAACTTTCCTTAACTCAAGGGAAGTGCCCTAAACTTTTTTCCTAAGGGTAATATTTTTTATTTTAATGTTTTTTTTCGTAGTGATGCCCAGGGTGTTTTATCAAACGTATAGCCCAATTCTAGGGATATTTCTGCTTAAAAAGAATATACTTTTGAAATAAAACCCATTATAGGTGGTATCCAAGAGGCCTCATCAGACGACAATTTGGGAATAAGCAATTTCATTTACCTAAGATTGATCACTTGGCTATTCAACCTCTGATTTTCTCTAAAGATCTTATCTCGATTCACTTTACCATCAGACTGGACTGACTTTAACTCTTTATATAATTTCTCATTCTCTTGTTGGTATCCTGAAAAAAGAATCCTATCATTTTTAAACATATTCTCTTAAAATATTCTTTCTATATTCACTTTACTATCAGACTGGACTGACTTTAACTCTTTATATAATTTCTCATTCTCTTGAAAGGTATCCTGAAAAAAGAATCATATCATTTGACAACAATTTCACTTGAAAATTTCTTTCTCTGATGAATTTAATTTCTCATTTACCTATGGGTATCCTGAAATATAAATCATATCATTTTGCAACAAATTCTCTTAAAATATTTTTCTCTGATCACTTTACCACTTTAATGCTTAGTTAGCTCAATTTTTGTTGGTATCCTAAAATACAATTGTAATTTGACTGATCAAAAATTACTAACATGTGACAGTAGTGTATTCCGATTGGTCAGAAATTGCTCACATGTGACAGTACTGTATTCCGATTGGTCAAAGAGTACTTCCATAACAAAACTTTATTCTAATTGGTGAAAAAGTAGTCATAATATGTTCTGGAAGAAATTTCTTTTTATATTACCTTGGAGAAGTTTTTCTTGTTCTCTGATCTCTTGCTCAAACCTCTTTAGCTGTTCCTCACTAGCTCCCTCTATTGATTGTCCATTAAGTATTTTTCTCTTCACGCTTAGTTCACTTGTATCTGCTGCTGCCACCTATAACATCATATTAAACAATATTTAAGTCACACACTCATACAAATCATATTAGGCTGTTTGAAATAGCAAACTTGGTGCTATTGATCAACACATGGAAATGTTGAAGGTATGTTCAAATCGTTTTGAAGAAGGGCCATCTCTAAACCAAAGGAGTTAATTGAGTTTAATAATTTGCTTACTTTCAAGTATCACGTAATCGAAAGTATATAAAGGAACATCAAAATAAAATGATCAATTGTTTGACAATAAAACTATTTTCTCAATATAATATCACATAATATATTTTAAAAATATAAAGTATTATATATGGTATAAAATTATTACAACATATTATAGAACTATATAATATATTATCTTGTTTGTTCAACTACATGTATTATAAATTTTGGTTCAAAAAGTAAACTTATACTTACTTTGGCACTAAGAAGGAAATTTTCTTGTTTAAGATCAAATATTTCTTTTTCATATTTCTGACTGTTGTTCTCAATTTCAGCCAAATACATCTGCTCTTGAGAGGTCAAATCCACTGAAAATATTGATGTCCAAACAAAATTATCTAACAGACATTTCAGTTGTTTCAGTGTAAAAACTACATATATTTGATAAAGTGGTTGCTTTTCTTTAACACAGTTCAGTTTTTTCATGGTTTCTTTATTTAGTTTGCAAAATAAGCAAAAGTATGACACTGACACACACTGATACATACGACACTGACACACACTGATACATATGCCACTGACACACACTGATACATATGACACTGACACACGCTGATACACATGACACTGACACACACTGATACATATGACACTGACACACCCTGATACATATGACACTGACACACGCTGATACATATGATAGTGACAGACACTGATACATATGCCACCGACACACACTGATACATATGACACTGACACACGCTGAAACATATGACACTGACACACGCTGATACATATGATAGTGACACACACTGATACATATGCCACTGACACACACTGATACATATGACACTGACACACACTGATACATATGACACTGACACACACTGATACATATGATAGTGACACACACTGATACATATGACACTGACACATATGACACTGACACACACTGATACATATGACACTGATACACAATGATACATACGACACTGACACACACTGATACATATGATAGTGACACACACTGATACATATGCCACTGACACACACTGATACATATGACACTGACACACAATGATAAATATGGCACTGACACACACTGATACATATAATACTGACCCACACTGATACATATGACACTGACACACACTGATACATATGACACTGACACACACTGATACATGACACTGACACACACTGATGCATACGACACTGACACACACTGAAACATATGATAGTGACACACGCTGATACATATGCCACTGACACACACTGATACATATGACACTGACACACGCTGATACATATGACACTGACACACACACTGATACATATGACACTGACACACACTGATACATATGACACTGACACACACTGATACATATGACACTGACACACAATGATAAATATGGCACTGACACACACTGATACATATAATACTGACACACGCTGATACATATGACACTGACACACACTGATACATATGCCACTGACACACACTGATACACGACACTGACACACACTGATACATACGACACTGACACACACTGATACATATGATAGTGACACACGCTGATACATATGACACTGACACATGCTGATACATATGGCACTGACACACACTGATACATATGACACTGACACACACTGATACATATGACACAATGAATGGCTCCTAGCTCTTATGTTCAGGCAAATTGTTCTTGCTTTTGTTTTGAAATAATCATTGTTCTTTCTTCTTAGTGTACTTTCTGTCAACACCCTGCTGGTATAAAATCTCAATGTAAGAAATGAAAGTGGATCTTACGCTTTAGTTTCGCAACTAATTTCCTTTCTTCTCTCCACTGTTCTTGCCATTCCTTAGCCTCCCTAACCAGGGCTTCCTCTCTTTCTACACCAATTTGACTAAGGCCTTTGGAGTAGTCTTCATCCTATAATGAAGAACATGGACCTATGTATTGATTACTTAGCCTCCCTAACCAGGGCTTCCTCTCGTTCTACACCAATTTGACTTACGCCTGTGGAGAAGTCTACATCCTATAATCAAGAACATAGACCTATGTATTGATTACTTAGCCTCCCTCACAAGGGCCTCCTCTAGCGCTACACCAATTTGACTTACGCCTGTGGAGTAGTCTACATCCTATAATCAAGAACACTGACAATGTAGGTGCAGGGTACCCGGAGCACATTCAGATTGTCATAAAAAGTTAATACAAAGTAATTTAATCTTTTCATCAACTATTAGTTAATATAATTATGAATACATTTAGACATGTGATTGGACACTCTTTACATTTTTAAATAATGCACTACAGTCCTATTGAGGGTTTTAAATCTTCTGAAAATGTTCCTATGCTTGAATTCCAATTTTAATTTCTTGAATTTTTTTGACATTTACAGCAAGCCTGTATGATCTACTAAATTGAACTTTATGAGGTTACGAAGAAAAATGTGCACCAAGTAACCTGTACCGTTGATTGCATACATAGTCAAATCACAATCTAAATAAACTGTTTTGTTCTGAAATTCTTTATATAAATAGGAATTGTAAAAAAATTATAGCTGAGAAAATGTCACCTCTGCATAATGACGAATCCTTATTATAAAGCACGTAGTTAGTTCAGAACTTATGGAACCATTTTCATATAAGTACCATAGTCTAAAATACCATCTAATCAAGCATTATATATTTCAAAGTTGGATGTGATATCTAACTTTAAGGATTTTATTTTGTGTGGTTTGAATATAATCTTTGCTGACTGTGTTCAAAACAAATTAACAAACAATACTTTAAATGCAATAATTTATTATTCAGTTGTGCTATGTCATAATTGTTTCATCATATACTGTATATCTTAACGCTGCTTAACATACTTCGTTTAAATACATGTTGGCCTTATTGAAATATCTAAATGTACAGACAACATGTTAACTTATGTTAAATTACACTTCTACTTATTAATTGAATTGTCCATGTTGATGTACTTCTGTACAGACATTTCAATAACTTCAATTAGATCAGCAATTTTAGAGTATTTGTCTCTAAATATTGGTTTTTATCTTGAGTGTAATAAGTTCACCTGATAAGATTTTCATTGCTTTATGGTTTTGGATTTTGATAATAATTCCTCAATGGTGGAGGGTTTAATTGTAGCATTTCCTAGTTATAAGATCACTGTTCTTATAACTATTGAACTCTTTCTTCAATCGTTCTAATTTTTATATTTCTTATCCTTCTTTTGGCAGTTTTGCTACATAGCCATACTTTGAAGATTTGATGGTATAATGTTTGCAATTTGATTGTATAATGTTTGCAATTTGATGGTATAATGTTTGTAATTTGATGGTATAATGTAATATTTGCAATTTGATGGTATAATGTTGGCCGAATTGGACTGCAGTTTTACGTATTGTTGCATAGACTTGACATTTTACTATCACAAGTAATATTCATCTTGATCCATCATGGTATTACATACTGTTTGACATAAATCTTAAACCAATACTACCTGGCTGAAGGAATACACTGGCTTAACATTATGAGTAATATCAATGTTCAAACCCTCTCCTTTCAGAGTCATTTTACAAAATATATAAATATCTACAGTTAAGAAGAATCCCGATTTTCATAATCAGAATATAAATATTCCCCAGATCCCTCAGGATAAAAATAATCCCCCGATCCTCTGGGAAACCCTTCATTTTCATTTATAAAGCTGTTTGTTGTCGTCTCATCATTACTCCCCACAGTGCTTGTTACAGGAACCATTTCATTTGTATTTCCACCGCTTCCAATTTTGTTTGTTGTAGCAACCATTTCATTTGCATTTCCACCACTTCCCATGCCATTTGTTGTACCAACCATTTGATTTGTATTTCCAATGCCTCCAATGCTGTTTGTTGTAGCAACCATTTCATTTGCATTTGCACCACTTCCCATGCCATTTGTTGTAGCAACCATTTCATTTCCACCACTTCCCATGCCATTTGTTGTAGCAACCCTTTCATTTGCATTTGCACCACTTCCCATGCCATTTGTTGTGCCAACCATTTGATTTGTATTTCCAATGCTTCCAATGTTGTTTGTTGTAGCAACCATTTCATTTGCATTTGCACCACTTCCCATGCCATTTGTTGTAGCAACCATTTCATTTCCACCACTTCCCATGCCATTTGTTGTAGCAACCCTTTCATTTGCATTTGCACCACTTCCCATGCCATTTGTTGTAGCAACCATTTGATTTGTATTTCCAACGCTTCCAATGTTGTTTGTTGTAGCAACCATTTCATTTGCATTTGCACCACTTCCCATGCCATTTGTTGTAGCAACCATTTCATTTGCATTTCCACCACTTCCAATGTTGTTTGTTGTAGCAACCATTTCATTTGCATTTGCACCACTTCCCATGCCATTTGTTGTAGCAACCATTTCATTTGCATTTGCACCACTTCCCATGCCATTTGTTGTAGCAATAATTTCATTTGCATTTTCACCACTTCCCATGTCATTTGTTGTAGCAACCATTTCATTTGAATTTTCACTGCTTCCAATGTTGTTTGTTGTAGCAACCAGTTCATTTGCATTTGCACTTCCCATGCCATTTGTTGTAGCAACCATTTCTGTATTTCCACCACTTCCAATGTTGTTTGTTGTAGCAACCATGTGATTCGTATAAGCACCACTTCCAATGTTGTTTGCTGTAGAAACCACTCCATTTGTATTACCACCACTTACAATGTTGTTTGTTGTAGCAACCATTTCATTTGCATTTCCACCACTTCCCATGCCATTGGTTGTAGCAACTATTTCATTTGTTTTTCCACCACTTCCAATGCTATCTGTTGAAGAAACGAATGCATTTGCATTTCCACCACTTCCCATGCCATTTGTTGTAGCAACAATTTCATTTGCATTTCCACCACTTCCAATGTGGTTTGTTGTAGCAACCATATCATTTGCATTTCCACTGCTTCCAACGTTGCTTGTTGTGGCAATCATTTCATTTGCATTTCCACCACTTCCCATGCCATTGGTTGTAGCAACTATTTCATTTGTTTTTCCACCACTTCCAATGCTATATGTTGAAGAAACGAATGCATTTGCATTTCCACCACTTCCCATGCCATTTGTTGTTGCAACAATTTCATTTGCATTTCCACCACTTCCAATGTGGTTTGTTGTAGCAACCATTTCATTTGCATTTCCACCACTTCCAATGTTGTTTGTTGTAGCAACCATTTCATTTGTATTCCCATCACTTCCACTGTTGTTTGTTGTAGCAACCATTTCATTAGCAGCATTTCTAATGTTTGTTGAATACACTGACCCTGTAAAACATTAGACTATTAAACTAAAAAAAGTGCACATGCAATTATGTGGTTTGGTAATATGAAAAAAATACAATTTTTAAATATTTTTGGTTCAAATCATTCCTTAGCATGTGTATTTTCTGAAATACCCAAAGTGCATATGCTAGAGATTTTTACAATTATAATGGAATGTTTTCAATACATTTGGTTACCACAATTATTATTTGGGAGAATTTAGACATTTTCCCAGTTTTTGCACTTTGAATCTTAAATAACTTCACCAAATGATAACATAATGTGAATATTTTGAGAGATTTATTTGAGGTTTTAAGGAATGTATTGGGAGCTCAAATTTACACATCGCTTGCAATTTTGTCACTGCCAATATATCTGATTCTGCCTTTAAAGTACATGTAGCTAGCTCAAGATGTCTTTAAATTGCCATGCAACGGCTGATTTAGAAAGTGACAGGAACGATTAAATTGTATTTTGCTTGAATTTTTTACTTTAAAAATAGTTGTAGGAATAAGCCTGAAAATAGTAATTGGGTATTAAGACCGTATTAGTATAAATTATTATTTGCAATGAGTTGGAATGTATAACTACCTCTGAGTGCTGTGTAAATCCATCCATTCTCCTCACTGAGATCGTTTTCATTTACCTCTGCGGTATACTCTTCGCATGTTCCATCATTTTCACTATAAGCAGCGGCCTCACAATTTTGGTGCCTTATGCACTTCACGAAACATTCCGCTTTGAATCCGACGATAGACATTCGCAAAGTTGAATTCATTTGTTTTCTATTTTGAATCACGTTAAAATAATATGATTGGTATTCACTGACGACACAGTGGTTGAAATAGATAAACATTAACCAAAATGAAAAGAAATATGCCATTTTGATGGTATTGATGAGCATTAAGCAAAGACATCGGCTGTTTCTATAGATGTAAACACATTGTCACACAGTTACATCTAATGTTGGTGAAAATGTTGACTATTAGAAAAGAATGGACATGAATAAAACTTGAGGTGTGTATTATTACAAATTATTGATTTAATCAATAGAGTCAAAGTAGGATTAACTGACTCAAGTAGATTCAATGATACACTCAAAACTTATTGGAATAATATTATTAAGCCATGAGTGACAATTGAGTAGTTATGAACAATATCTGCTGTGTAAATTATTTACAATAATTGATTGAATTAATTGATGCAAAGAAGGCTTAATTAATCCAGGTAGATTCATTCACCAAATGAGTAATTTTGAAAATTAAAGATCCCTGAAAAATTGTTACCTGTGGCTGACGCTTCTGAGGCTGGTGCCTTGGGGGTTTACCCTCGGGCGAAAAATGAGACTGGATGTAGTTAGCGAATGATTCGACTGATGCTTTAAGCTGAGAGCCCCCTAGTGTTGGTTTTGCACGTGGACCACGGTCAACCCCTAAAATATCAGAAAGTTGGAATATTGGGTTTTAATAATGTTAATGAAAAAGCGGTGCGAAACAAGTATTTTTATATTTAACTGTAAAACTACAACTTCTCATCAAGATGGGAATTTTAAGGCTTTGACACCTGGAAGAAAATTAATCCTATTGCAAAGTACACAAATTACATTAATTTGATTAAGTTACATTAATTTAAAAAAAAATTGCTATATGTACATAAAATATATAAGGCCACAACTTTACCTGTGAATTTCGACTTGGCAGTATGGGCAGGCGACCAGGCATCCTGACCCCCTGTTTTACCTCCTTGCAAGTCTTTCTGACCCCCAGGCTTACCCTGCCACTTATTGTCAATGCGCGATTTCACACCTTTCAATTTGTTACCTAAAAAAGTTTAGATCTTAGAGACACATTTTAGTGATAAAGAAGTAAATGTAGTAAAAAGTTCCCTTACACTTGAATATTATCCCTATAAGTGGATGAATTTTTCATTTTCTCTAACCAAAAATTCTTTCAAAATCATGCAATTTTCACCGTTCTGAGCACTTTTCAACAGTTGTCAAATGTGAACCTCCCTTGATTTTTTGAAATGTGACCCTATGGGAAATCTACCCCATCTAGAAGTTGCATTTTCAAAGAAATTTAAAGTTTCAAAGTTGATAAATAATTTTAAAACCACCTTTCCAGATGTAATTATAGACTCCAAATATGATATCACCTTGACTAAATTTGGTTTTATGATATAATTCAAGATTATTTCTCCTTGCATCTATTCTATTGACTGGAGATTAATATCTCTTAATTATTTAAGTTTCATTATTTAGTTTGCACCTTTTGATTTGTGATCTGATTTTTGTTTGCCTGGCAATAGCCCCAATGTTCCGTGTGTCATTTCAAGGGATGACTCCTGCGTACACATGCCCTGGAGAGCCTCTTGTAAATCTTGCATATTCTGTTGAGTATTAGTGCCCATGTATTCTAGAAACAATATTATACTTAATGTTGAATGAAATTCATGATTTAAAAATTACAATTAAACTATACTCTCTATGAGATGATCTTAATCATTAGTTTAGGAAAAAAGGATCCTAGAGAAGTGAGCTTACCAAAGTGTACATAGAAATAAACAATTTCTTGCTTAATATCTTCCCAATACACCCAAAAACTAATCGGTTCAAATTTTAACATACATTCTGCAAATACCAAATTAATAGGATTGATGTATAAAACATTTGCTGTAATATCTACCTGTGTCGAGTCCTTTAGTTTTCTTCAGCTTGGATGAGCCCATAGTGCCATCTATTGTGTCTTCCAGCAGAGAAACTGTCAATTGGGGCAAAATCATAAATTAATGAATATATATGGAATAATTTGCCATAACAGTTGTCAACGTGGCATAGCAAAGCCTTGATAAGTCGAACACTCTTAGATATATCAAATGTCAATGAACATGCTAAAAGTTCGATGTTCCATTTGACTGGTTTTACTTTATTTACATATCAGTATATTTTTCAAAAATAGTAAGTTTCAAAACAAAACTTGTAACTCTTTGTAACTGTAACAAAACATTACCTCTTATAAGTTTGAGAGTTTCATACAGGATTTTTTGATTGTGCATTGATAATACATATCCCTAGCCATATATTATAAATTGGAGGTTTCATTCAATGTCATATGCACAATATCGGTTTACCTTTTGATAATAGACTTGGTTTATGTGTCCGAGGAGATGGAACTGGCTGTTGCCTTTTCTCTTCTTCCTCCCTATAAACTGGATGTTCTGCAGGCTGCAATAGGGCAAACACTGACCTTTGCACATTTTCATGACCTTTGTAGTCAGATGAATATTGTTCTTGGTCTTTATCAGGTAATACAAGATCATTTTGACTTGATACTGGCTGTAATAAATCAAACACTGATGGCTCTTTACTGACAGTTTCTTGTTCTCCAGTTGCTGGTTTAAGTAGGTCAAATACCGAAGGTTCTTTGCTACTCAAAAGATGACCTTGACCTTGTGGTTCAGCAGGCTTGAGAATGTCAAGAACATTTGGTTCATTCTGACTTTCCATAGGGTCTTCTAGTTCTCTTCGTAGAGCTTTAATTTCATCTAGAGTTTTATCGTACTGTTCCTCTGATTGTGTTACATTGGCTTTAGTAAGAGTTGTGTCTGGAGTTTCAACACCAGTTGCCAATAGATCCTGCTTGCCTGAAATCAACGTCCACAATGTCTTCATAAGCCTTCTTATATATCTTTACTGTACATAACAATATATCTCATGTACTCCAAAACCCAGCCCCCAAACCATACTAGACTATTGTATACTTACCAGCTTCATTTGTGCCAAATGTATTTGTCTTTTCAAGATCTTTATTCAATTTACTAAAGTCAACACTGTCTTCATTGGCCTTCTCAAGATTCTACAATCAAAACAATCATAAGTTTTCAATTACAAAAATGTAACAATATGTTACAGATGTTGTATGATGCAATTCACATTGAAAGCAGTTCACAAAATGTACAAAAATGTAACAATATGTTACAGATGTTGTATAATGTAATTCACATTGAAAGTAGTTCACAAAATGTACAAAAATGTAACAATATGTTACAGATGTTGTATAATGCAATTCACATTGAAAGCAGTTCACAAAATGTACAAAAATGTAACAATATGTTACAGATGTTGTATGATTTAATTCACATTGAAAGCAGTTCACAAAATGTACAAAAATGTAACAATATGTTACAGATGTTGTATAATGTAATTCACATTGAAAGCAGTTCACAAAATGTACAAAAATGTAACAATATGTTACAGATATTGTATGATGCAATTCACATTGAAAGCAGTTCACAAAATGTACAAAAATGTAACAATATGTTACAGATATTGTATAATGTAATTCACATTTAAAGCAGTTCACAAAATTGTGGCTATAACAATGTTTTTTTTGAGTTGTAACAATTAAAGATTCTACAATCAAAAAAATTATAAGTGTAACCAACCAAATTCCAATTACAGATAAAAAGTGTAACAATTTGTCACAGATGGTGAATAATGTATTTCAAAGGGGGTCACAAATTGGTTGCTTGAAGAATCTTTTCTTTGGTGGTAATAATAAAATTGTGTAAAAGGTGAAAGCATTATGAACAAAACACCAAACTTAATAAAATTTGCTACTAACATTGACATATCCTGAAAAACCTTTTTTGTGAAAAATATTAGCCCAAACTGCTGCCTCTGTTGTTGACCTTGAGACATAGAATGAGTTTAAATGACCATGAGAAGTTGTTGTTACAAATAAGAAATCTTGCACTAACTTACCTTAAAAAAGTTCTCCTTGTCAGCAATTTCATCGAGAGTGTCTTGACCATATTTGGGCGTGGAATGAGCCTTGGTGCTCATATCCCCGAGGGTGTCTTGGGTTCCCTGCAAATTGTATTCAAAATGATTACAAGGCAACATCAAAACATATATAGCTCTACATACAGTTTGAAAAGATCTACATATTGATCAAAATACTAATCTACCATATACAACTTATCTACACATTGATCTACATACTGATATAAATACTGATCTAAATACTACTACACTAAATACTATCTACATACTGATCTAAATACTACTACACTAAATACTATTTACATAGTAATCTATATACCAATCTCCCAGAAGCTGATTTACACACTGGTCTACATACTGATATAAAAACTGATCTTAATACTACTACACTAAATACGATCTACACAGTAATCTACATACTGATCTAAATACTACTACACTAAATATAGTAGTAAATACTATCTACACAGTAATCTACATACTGATCTCCTAGCTGATTTACACACTGATCTACCTGCTGATATACATATTAATCTCCTAACTGATCTCCATACTGTACCTGCAGACTGCCCCTATATAAGCTGTCCTCTGTGGCACTTGGTTGGAACTCAGATTCTGATAATACGGGGGATATGGTTGCCTTGTAGCCACTGGGTTCTGGAAAGGGCAATATAATTAGTCCATAACAGATTTTAGGGTTTGCACTGACACGCAAAAGGGCACTGTTCATTGGACCCATGCTGTGCTGTATAAAAGTAGATTTGTCTAAAAATCATGTATGGGGCAGGAAGGACCATAGAATAGATGAATGAATGAACAAGTTGGCATTTTCGAAATTCTTTATCAAATCAATGTTTTAGCATTAACTTATTCATCAAAATGTTAAAAAGTATGTTTTTGCCATCAAATGAACATTGAAAATAATATTATGCCTATAAATTTTCAATTGATTCTACAACATGTATTGTAAAGACTTCAGTATGATTGAAATGTCCCTTGGTGTTGTGGTCTTGGATTATGATAATGGTACTTGAATGGTGGGTTCAGGGGTTAAGACATTATTTCCTTTCACAACATATTATGTTTTGGAATAGTTGGGGTTTGTTTACCTGGTGTAATTAATTAGATAATTTCTTTTTCTTAGTGTGTTGTGGAACAATTTTTGGCACTAACGTGCACTTTTTTTTTAACATTCATTTATTTCATATATATATTATACATAGAATAATACAATAGTAAAGTTTGACTAATGAGCACTTGCGCATACATCATTATCTCAAAAGTGATTGATTGAAAACCATCAAAAACACTTACCATCGAGACTGTCTCTGCTCATCGTCATGTCAACCTGAAGCTGAAATACACAATCACACTTTAAATATGGTTACTATGCAAATTTGTTAAAGTCAACTTTTGTGAAAAATATGTATTCTCAACAGTTTTAAAAAAAATGTTTAACTGATTAACTTTAGTTTTAAAAAATGGTTGAGTGAAAATATTTGAATTCTTCTTTAAAAAGCATTGAAAATTTTGAAAAACCAATTTCGTTACCCTCTAACAAGGAAATGAATTTTAAAAATTAAAAAAAAAACATTCAAATTAATATTCAATATCACTAACCTGTTTTCTTGCATCTCCAGTTGATTTTTTATTTCCCATCCCTACCCCAGTGACAACCTCTTCATCAGAACTTTCAAAATCCTTTTTGAAATAATTCTGTTCATCTTCTTCATTCTTTGTGGGTTTCTCTTTAGGTTGAATTTCCTTTTCTTTACTTTCTTGATTTCCATCACTCTTGCTCTTCGATTGTTCATTTGAAGATGGGGTTTTCTTAAGAAAGCTTCTTGTTGCAGGTTTTGGATCTTTCTTTTTCTTCAGAAAACTTTGAGTTGATGTCCCTAATAAGATACATGTGGTTATATGTATAAAACTGATGTGAGTATATCAAAATTTGAAAAAATCCACAACTGCTTTACATGATGTATCAAAAATTACTTGAAAAGTAAATCACTGTACATCTTCAATTTTGATAAAAATTCCATTCCACATAACTTTAAACCCCCAAGGGATAAAATAATAATGTAAAAACTGTTAACGCTTAATAATGATTTAAAAAAATGATAAAGGTGTGGTGAGCAAGACTTTGAATTCTGTTAAAAACAATTTGTTTTATTTATAGATAGAAAATGTGTCCATTTAATTTGAATATAGAATTACTACATGAATCAACATCAGGTTCTCAGTTAAACACTGTGAAAATGTTTTAATGACAACAAGCATTCTCTATACATTTTTAGGATTCTAGTGCATTTTAAACCTATTTATGAATCTCTTAGCAATAAAACCATTGTTTTCACAAGAAATATAATTGCTATATGTCCCCTTGTTATCAACCATGGTTTGTTAATTTTTCAAAATGAGTTATTAATTAAACTATTGACCACTTTAAAGAAATCAACTCAACAAGATTTTTATGTACTTTTTAAGACTATAATTACCAATATTAATGAAACGGTTAATGTACATATTTCTCAAATGTTTTTCTCATTACTTTATAGATATTTATGCGTAAGTATAGAATATATGGAAAATGTTGGATGACATTCTCTACCCCAAAATTTAGCTTTTGAGAAAGTACAGAGCACTATTAACATACAAATATACAGTGAAACCTGTAAAGTGGAACACCTCTAGAAGTGGAACACCTCTGGAAGTGGAACAGTTTTCAGAGTTCCAAGAGCAACTGACTCAATGTAAAATGAACCTCTATAAATGGAACATCTCCCAAGTAGAACACTTTTTAAAGGAACCAGAGTATTCCACTTAGTCAGGTTTCACTGTAAAAAGTATTTTACCAAGGTAGGCATTAGCATCATCGTCACCAGCAATATCATCGTCATCTCCTCCTCCTCCTTCAGTCATCCACCATGGCTGTTTTTCATCTTTCTTCTTTTTCTTTTGCAGCAGTTTCTCCAAGGCTTCATCATCAGACATTGACTTGAATAAACAAAAAAAAAACATTCTGATTATTAGGTAAAAATGGTACCTTAAAGGCTCACTATGCATATTTTTGACTAACTTTTGAACTTCATAGTATTTCCAATGGGTTGGCAAGTGGCAACTACTTAATCTTTCATTAGACAACATGCACTTTGTCAAAAATAGGCAGACACTTCTTAGGATCTCTGGACTTCAAATGCTGTTTTCTACCTGAGTTAATTTTTTCTCGGTTCAATATTAATGCAAATCAAGCTTTGTATCATATTTGATTGAGTATGTAAATAACATGTTTAAATGATTATTTCATCAATTTCCCTTCTAAATTAAGCATAGTGGGCCTTTAAGGTGGGCTCAATGTGAAATTCAACAAAAAATCCAATACAGGCTTTTACAAGACCTACAGCTGTGCACTTTCTTGCCAAGCTTAAAACATTTTCTTATTTTCTCTTCTCCATGCAATATTTGCAAAACATACAGGGTGTCCATGACATACCTCTTGAAGGAACTGATCAAACTTCTCATCTAAATCATCATTGTCAATTCTCCTTCTTGCCATAATGACTGAAAGAAAAAAGAAAAAAATTGATAGACCATATTTAGGATCTTTTTAATCCCTAGCTAGTAATACATTTACATTTACTTCATAGACTGTTCCTTGGAAAGTTAAGTTTAGGATATTCATGTTTGGCTTAATTTTCAGATAAAATTCATCAGATTTCCAATGTTATTTGAATAACTCTTGGGATTTCCCCGAAATCAGATGAAAATTAAGCCACCTATTTATATATAAAGTATATGAAGGTGGCATGATATGAATTAAAGAATAAATTTTATCCTTAAGAATGTTTGGAATAACCAATGTTAGAATATATTCCAAGATAAATCCAACAATGCATCATTGCCCATGAATAACCGATGTTTGGAATAACCAATGTTTGGAACAACCAATGTTAGAATATATTCCATGATAAATCCAACAATGCATCATTGCCCATGAATAACCAATGTTTGGAATAACCAATGTTAGAATATATTCCATGTTAAATCCAACAATGCATCATTGCCCATGAATAACCAATGTTTGGAATAACCAATGTTAGAGTATATTCCATGATAAATCCAACAATGCATCATTGCCCATGAATAACCAATGTTTGGACTAACCAATGTTAGAATATATTCCATGATAAGTCCAACAATGCATCATTGCCCATGAATAACCAATGTTTGGAATAACCAATGTTAGAATATATTCCATGTTAAATCCAACAATGCATCATTGCCCATGAATAACCAATGTTTGGAATAACCAATGTTAGAATACATTCCATGATAAATCCAACAATGCATCATTGCCCATGAATAACCAATGTTTGGACTAACCAATGTTAGAATATATTCCATGATAAGTCCAACAATGCATCATTGCCCATGAATAACCAATGTTTGGAATAACCAATGTTAGAATATATTCCATGATAAGTCCAACAATGCATCATTGCCCATGAATAACCAATGTTTGGAATAACCAATGTTAGAATACATTCCATGATAAATCCAACAATGCATCATTGCCCATGAATAACCAATGTTTGGACTAACCAATGTTAGAATATATTCCATGATAAGTCCAACAATGCATCATTGCCCATGAATAACCAATGTTTGGAATAACCAATGTTAGAATATATTCCATGTTAAATCCAACAATGCATCATTGCCCATGAATAACCAATGTTTGGAATAACCAATGTTAGAATACATTCCATGATAAATCCAACAATGCATCATTGCCCATGAATAACCAATGTTTTGAATAACCAATGTTAGAATATATTCCATGATAAATCCAACAATGCATCATTGCCCAAGAATAACCAATGTTTGGAATAACCAATGTTAGAATATATTCCATGTTAAATCCAACAATGCATCATTGCCCATGAATAACCAATGTTTGGAATAACCAATGTTAGAATATATTCCATGATAAATCCAACAATGCATCATTGCCCAAGAATAACCAATGTTTGGACTAACCAATGTTAGAATATATTCCATGATAAGTCCAACAATGCATCATTGCCCATGAATAACCAATGTTTGGACTAACCAATGTTAGAATATATTCCATGATAAATCCAACAATGCATCATTGCCCATGAATAACCAATGTTTGGACTAACCAATGTTAGAATATATTCCATGATAAGTCCAACAATGCATCATTGCCCATGAATAACCAATGTTTGGACTAACCAATGTTAGAATATATTCCATGATAAATCCAACAATGCATCATTGCCCATGAATAACCAATGTTTGGAATAACCAATGTTAGAATATATTCCATGATAAGTCCAACAATGCACCATTGCCCATGAATAACCAATGTTTGGACTAACCAATGTTAGAATATATTCCATGATAAATCCAACAATGCATCATTGCCCATGAATAACCAATGTTTGGAATAACCAATGTTAGAATATATTCCATGATAAGTCCAACAATGCATCATTGCCCATGAATAACCAATGTTTTGAATAACCAATGTTAGAATATATTCCATGATAAATCCAACAATGCATCATTGCCCATGAATAACCAATGTTTGGAATAACCAATGTTAGAATATATTCCATGATAAGTCCAACAATGCATCATTGCCCATGAATAACCAATGTTTGGAATAACCAATGTTAGAATATATTCCATGATAAATCCAACAATGCATCATTGCCCATGAATAACCAATGTTTGGAATAACCAATGTTAGAATATATTCCATGATAAGTCCAACAATGCATCATTGCCCATGAATAACCAATGTTTGGAATAACCAATGTTAGAATATATTCCATGTTAAATCCAACAATGCATCATTGCCCATGAATAACCAATGTTTGGAATAACCAATGTTAGAATACATTCCATGATAAATCCAACAATGCATCATTGCCCATGAATAACCAATGTTTTGAATAACCAATGTTAGAATATATTCCATGATAAATCCAACAATGCATCATTGCCCAAGAATAACCAATGTTTGGAATAACCAATGTTAGAATATATTCCATGTTAAATCCAACAATGCATCATTGCCCATGAATAACCAATGTTTGGAATAACCAATGTTAGAATATATTCCATGATAAATCCAACAATGCATCATTGCCCAAGAATAACCAATGTTTGGACTAACCAATGTTAGAATATATTCCATGATAAGTCCAACAATGCATCATTGCCCATGAATAACCAATGTTTGGACTAACCAATGTTAGAATATATTCCATGATAAATCCAACAATGCATCATTGCCCATGAATAACCAATGTTTGGACTAACCAATGTTAGAATATATTCCATGATAAGTCCAACAATGCATCATTGCCCATGAATAACCAATGTTTGGAATAACCAATGTTAGAATATATTCCATGATAAATCCAACAATGCATCATTGCCCATGAATAACCAATGTTTGGAATAACCAATGTTAGAATATATTCCATGATAAGTCCAACAATGCATCATTGCCCATGAATAACCAATGTTTGGAATAACCAATGTTAGAATATATTCCATGATAAGTCCAACAATGCATCATTGCCCATGAATAACCAATGTTTGGACTAACCAATGTTAGAATATATTCCATGATAAGTCCAACAATGCATCATTGCCCATGAATAACCAATGTTTGGACTAACCAATGTTAGAATATATTCCATGATAAATCCAACAATGCATCATTGCCCATGAATAACCAATGTTTGGAATAACCAATGTTAGAATACATTCCATGATAAATCCAACAATGCATCATTGCCCATGAATAACCAATGTTTGGAATAACCAATGTTAGAATATATTCCATGATAAGTCCAACAATGCATCATTGCCCATGAATAACCAATGTTTGGACTAACCAATGTTAGAATATATTCCATGATAAATCCAACAATGCATCATTGCCCATGAATAACCAATGTTTGGAATAACCAATGTTAGAATATATTCCATGATAAGTCCAACAATGCACCATTGCCCATGAATAACCAATGTTTGGACTAACCAATGTTAGAATATATTCCATGATAAATCCAACAATGCATCATTGCCCATGAATAACCAATGTTTGGAATAACCAATGTTAGAATATATTCCATGATAAGTCCAACAATGCATCATTGCCCATGAATAACCAATGTTTTGAATAACCAATGTTAGAATATATTCCATGATAAATCCAACAATGCATCATTGCCCATGAATAACCAATGTTTGGAATAACCAATGTTAGAATATATTCCATGATAAGTCCAACAATGCATCATTGCCCATGAATAACCAATGTTTTGAATAACCAATGTTAGAATATATTCCATGATAAATCCAACAATGCATCATTGCCCATGAATAACCAATGTTTGGAATAACCAATGTTAGAATATATTCCATGATAAGTCCAACAATGCATCATTGCCCATGAATAACCAATGTTTGGAATAACCAATGTTAGAATATATTCCATGATAAGTCCAACAATGCATCATTGCCAATGAATAACCAATGTTTGGAATAACCAATGTTAGAATATATTCCATGTTAAATCCAACAATGCATCATTGCCCATGAATAACCAATGTTTGGAATAACCAATGTTAGAATATATTCCATGATAAGTCCAACAATGCATCATTGCCCATGAATAACCAATGTTTGGAATAACCAATGTTAGAATATATTCCATGTTAAATCCAACAATGCATCATTGCCCATGAATAACCAATGTTTGGAATAACCAATGTTAGAATATATTCCATGATAAGTCCAACAATGCATCATTGCCCATGAATAACCAATGTTTGGAATAACCAATGTTAGAATATATTCCAAGATAAATCCAACAATGCATCATTGCCCATGAATAACCAATGTTTGGAATAACCAATGTTAGAATATATTCCATGATAAATCCAACAATGCACCATTGCCCATGAATAACCAATGTTTGGAATAACCAATGTTAGAATATATTCCATGATAAGTCCAACAATGCATCATTGCCCATGAATAACCAATGTTTGGAATAACCAATGTTAGAATATATTTCATGCTAAGTCCAACAATGCATCATTGCCCATGAATAACCAATGTTTGGAATAACCAATGTTAGAATATATTCCAAGATAAATCCAACAATGCATCATTGCCCATGAATAACCAATGTTTGGAATAACCAATGTTAGAATATATTCCAAGATAAATCCAACAATGCATCATTGCCCATGAATAACCGATGTTTGGAATAACCAATGTTTGGAACAACCAATGTTAGAATATATTCCATGATAAATCCAACAATGCATCATTGCCCATGAATAACCAATGTTTGGAATAACCAATGTTAGAATATATTCCATGATAAGTCCAACAATGCATCATTGCCCATGAATAACCAATGTTTGGAATAACCAATGTTAGAATATATTCCATGTTAAATCCAACAATGCATCATTGCCCATGAATAACCAATGTTTGGAATAACC